GGTGAAAAGTTAGCGTAGGGTGGTGAAGAGTTAATAATCCACAGACATTGTACATGACGGTAGGGTGGTGAAAAGTTAGCGTAGGGTGGTGAAGAGTTAATATTCCAGCTTATCCATAGATAATGTACATGACGGAAGGGTGGTGAAAAGTTAGCGTAGGGTGGTGAAGAGTTAATATTCCAGCTTATCCATAGACAATGCACATAACGGAAGGGTGGTGAAAAGTTAGCGTAGGGTGGTGAAGAGTTAATATTCCACTTTATCCATAGACAATGTACATGACGGTAGGGTGGTGAAAAGTTAGCGTAGGGTGGTGAAGAGTTAATATTCCATTATATCCATAGACAATGTACATGATGGTAGGGTGGTGAAAAGTTAGCGTAGGGTGGTGAAGAGTTAATATTCCAGCTTATCCATAGACAATGCACATAACGGAAGGGTGGTGAAAAGTTAGCGTAGGGTGGTGAAGAGTTAATATTCCACTTTATCCATAGACAATGTACATGGCGCTAGGGTGGTGAAAAGTTAGCGTAGGGTGGTGAAGAGTTAATATTACCATTTATCCATAGACAATGTACATGGCGCTAGGGTGGTGAAAAGTTAGCGTAAGGTGGTGAAGAGTTAATATTCCAGCTTATCCATAGATAATGTACATGACGGAAGGGTGGTGAAAAGTTAGCGTAGGGTGGTGAAGAGTTAATATTCCAGCTTATCCATAGACAATGCACATAACGGAAGGGTGGTGAAAAGTTAGCGTAGGGTGGTGAAGAGTTAATATTCCACTTTATACATAGACAATGTACATGACGGTAGGGTGGTGAAAAGTTAGCGTAGGGTGGTGAAGAGTTAATATTCCATTATATCCATAGACAATGTACATGATGGTAGGGTGGTGAAAAGTTAGCGTAGGGTGGTGAAGAGTTAATATTCCAGCTTATCCATAGACAATGCACATAACGGAAGGGTGGTGAAAAGTTAGCGTAGGGTGGTGAAGAGTTAATATTCCACTTTATCCATAGACAATGTACATGGCGCTAGGGTGGTGAAAAGTTAGCGTAGGGTGGTGAAGAGTTAATATTACCATTTATCCATAGACAATGTACATGGCGCTAGGGTGGTGAAAAGTTAGCGTAAGGTGGTGAAGAGTTAATATTCCAGCTTATCCATAGATAATGTACATGACGGAAGGGTGGTGAAAAGTTAGCGTAGGGTGGTGAAGAGTTAATATTACCATTTATCCATAGACAATGTCCATGACGGTAGGGTGGTGAAAAGTTAGCGTAGGGTGGTGAAAAATTAAATATTCCAGTTTATCCATAGACACTGTACATGGCGCTAGGGTGGTGAAAAATTAATATTCCAGTTTATCCATAGACAATGCACATGGCGCTAGGGTGGTGAAAAGTTAGCGTAGGGTGGTGAAAAGTTAATATTCCAGTTTATCCATAGACAATGTACATGACGGAAGGGTGGTGAAAGGTTAGCGTAGGGTGGTGAAGAGTTAATATTCCACTTTATCCATAATTGATAATGTACATGACGCTATAGGGTGGTGAAAAGTTGAGATCGTGAAAAATTATATCCATAGAAAATATGTACATGATGGTGACATAATGGTGAATAGTCTATGTGATTTGGTATTTAAAGAGTCAATGCCCCCTTTCGCAGAGAAAAGGCATATATATGCATGACATGCTTATAATTATGGCGCAGGGATATATTGCAATTCGAAAGAAGATAATAACGTTTTAATTTTTAACATAAATGAGGTGAGGTTGTAGTATAATTCTTTGATTTGCCCTTAAGTACTGCGCTTTACCCCCCCCCCCCCCCCCCCTCCATCATCTACTCTCATATCCGACCACCATGCCTATTTTAATTGGTAGCCAGCCATCGTTGCACTGATCATCATGCCTGATGGATACAATACACAAAGAATATATTGCGTGTGTGTAGTATAGCGGTTGTACGTGTACAGTGCGATCCTTACACTTACCAAATTGGCAATTTTTACACATTGGATGGGCTACCTTCATCTCCGATTAGGTGTGTGAAGAAAAGCTTCACCCCCGTCTTCACATACGTTAGATGGTGGCCTCTAGTCCACAAATCATAAAAGGAAAGATTTGTATTGTATTCGTCGCGCGCGTCGCGTCGGTGAATGGAATGAGGGGGGGGGGGGGGGGGTCGAAATGGCCGCCGTCCCCCTACTGCACGAGATTAAGCCCAGAAGTCCTCTTTCAAGACCTGAGGCCTGGCCGCGGATTAGATTCTCCGAGTCATGAAATTGTTTCTTTAAAGTTCAGTCTATACGGAAAACCGTACTGTGTTCGACAGATAGGAGGAAACTATTAATTTAAAGCCCCACTGTCCTACTTGTAGCTACTTGCTACCTCGTATAGGTTGTGAGTAAAAAAAAAGTTTACACCTAGAAAATTGCTAATTATTAAAAAAATCATGATGAACCTTAAATTGTTATGTGTCTTATGAAAGAATGTTTTATCCCAATCATTTGGTACCATTTTTGTGTGGTATGTGTTCACGCTTGGATGAACAGGAGACATTGTTTGCGAGAGTGCAATTACATTGACTTGCGCCAAAGTTGCCTATGTGATGTTTGCATAAAACAATTGGGGTTTGGGTATTAATTCGGTCTTTGCAGATCCAAATAACATCCATAAACAATTAATCATGCCACACATATCAAATATCGAATATTAAATATCAACGAACATTTGTGCGCGCGTGTGTGGGTGTGTGTGACTTTGCCCTTTTCAAAAACATATGCAATGCATTTCATTTAAAGCCCCTCTAAAGTGTTGGGAGCCCCACACATTTGATGGCAAGAAATTCACTTAAGTTGTATCATATTATAAAATAGGATGTCATTTAAAATACAAAATTCATGTTTACTGCGAGAACTTAAATTTTGTATTCTTTTATCAATATTCGACTTTAAACACATTATTTTGGGGGGAATCTTTCCAGAAGTGTATCTTAAATGACGTCCTCTTTCACATTATGATACAATTTAAATGAAATTTTTGGCGAATTTGGGGCAAAGCAACGAGATATATATAAAAAAAAAAAAAATAATAATAATAATAATCAATCTAGAATCCCCGATTGTAGACTATATTGGCTTTCGCAATAACGAGATCCTAGTGTAACAGAATTATGTGAGAGAGTGAAGCGACCGAGTTTTAGCAAAAAAATCATTGTAAACCCACACAAAATTTTATTTCTGATGCAATTTACCTAACGTATTGTGAGCGCATATAACCCTTATGATCTTAATAATCTTGTCTTCCCTTTCTCCTCTTTCCTTTCTTTTTTTCTTCTTCGTGTTTTGCACCTGTAGTTTTTTTGCGGATTTTGTTCATCTCCTCTAAAGGGCGCCTGGGGCACGTACCACCTCTGCCCCCTGCAGTCACTGCCGCCACTGTCTTTCATGCTTTGGCAGTTTATAAGGCACAAAACCTATACAATCATATTGTGAGGTCATCGCGTGCATTCACTTCAACCTATAGAAAAGGCCCTCTCACACATTTACGCGCATTGACCTACGTAATAATGTATACTCATCACCAATGCGTTCGAGTAGAAACTTTTGACCAATTAGGAACACGTTACTAAAATCTTACTCCAAAAATCATACGTAACAATGAAATGCGCAAGTTTTGTGTTTACATTAGTAACGCATTACCTACAAGAGATTCATTCTTTATGAATTCCCCTTGCATTAAAGACGTTTGCTCTGCTCCTGTCTTTATATCTCAAAGAGAAATGGCTCGCCGATCTTCTCGTAAGCGACGATTTTTCGCCCGACTTCGAAAGAGAATGGGAAAGAGTATGAGGAGACTGTGTTGTCTCTTGTCAGGTAGGAATATTTTCCTAAAGCTCCTCCAATGGTCATATAACACTCCAACCAATTTGAAATTCGCCACACCAACTCGGACGTCTATGCGGCTGCCAACTCATAATTCCCAAGGACTGTAAAGACATGGAACAACCTACAACAAGCAAACATCGACCAAACCTCCCCGCTCTCATTTAAAAATGCAGTTACTAAAGAACTTTATTCCAAAATGTAATCGTCCACCCTCCACCACCTCCAGTCAAAACTCTTCTTCGGAGTATTTCGGAGGAAAAGAATCCAAGATCCAAGAAAAACCTTATTAAACACATAAACACAGTATTCACATTTTAATAATGTAAATCAGATTTATTTTTTCTATAGTTACCAAACCCTAAAGCTTCGTTGAGCACGAACCGAAAATAGGGTGGTACTTTTTTGACCACCATTCACTGTTCAGCTTTGTTCTATCATTATTTTCTATAGCAACTTTGAAAATTAAGATTTGATTTTTGGGGTGGTATTTATTTAATTACAGCCACCGAGGATGACAGTACTGCCAACGGAAGTAATGTTTTGACAGCAGAAGCCCTCAAAATGGTAAGAATTCTATTAAAACTCAATTAATATTCGTAAAAGTTTTATTCAACCAAGACAATTATAGTTGGAATTAAATCATTCTTTTGCTCTCACGCGCCTTTCGTTTGTTCTCCTGCTTTAATTAGATTTCATTTTAATCTTATCTCTCCGAATATACAATATTTTCTCTCCGTATTGGTTTGTCCGCCTCTCTGTATGCAATTTTAAAGCTATTACACAATATTTAGCTCTTATCTCATATAATTTTTTTTTTCGTCAAACACAGTTCCACTCTACTACATGTAATATCAACGATACATTCAGTGACTCGACATCATTGTGGAGTTCGGAAGAGGGCTTCCCAAGCATCACGTATTACCCAATCATCGCTCCAAAGCAAAACGACAGCGAAAACAACGACGTCGACGATGATAACGATGACGGAACAAGTATCGCATCCGACTGCTGTCAGCTCCATAACGAAGTCTTGATCAAGATTCATCATGAAGATGATAACGATTCATTATCTGACACTACTTCTAGTTTGATCAGATTCATGGACGAAATGGACAATGATAGTTTCACAGACGTGTCCAGCATTACAACCGACAATGAAGACGATAGCAACACGTTTACGACAGTCAACAATTTGACATACTACACCCATGATCTTTTCGATGACGACAGCAGTGACGTCATACTTGATCTCTCCCTCACCAAAGATGAATACGAACTTATCAATGGTAGAGACCATACAATCGAAAGTGATTTTATCATTGCAATAACTTTTCTAGATGAAATCATTTCTGAGGTCGCCTTCAAACTGGATTCAAACAATTGAACCTCCGATATATTTTTGTTTAAAAAATGACAAATACTCAATTATATCCTTGTAAATAAATCTGGATATGCTATACTCAAATTGAAACTACCTTTGTATTGTTGTTGTGTGTATGTGTGAAAACTTATGAAATAATAAGAGTAGAAAACCATTCAAACTCAACTAAAGTATACCGTGTGAGTCAAAAAAAAATTACACCTAGAAAATTGCTTATCATTTTTAAAATCATCTATGCACAGTAAATTATTATACATCTTATGAAAGAGAATTTTATCCCAAATCATTTGGTATCATTTTTGTGTGGTATGTGTTCCCGCTTGGAGGAACAGGAGGCATTGTTTGCGAGAGTGCAAAAATCGAATTGCGCCAAAGTGATGCCTACACTATATGAGTACGTATTATGTTGGGATTAGCGGAGTGAGAGAATGAATTGAATGTATCAAATGAAATGCATTGCATATATGCTTTTTGCAGAAGCAAAGTCATACACACACACACGCGCGCGCACACATGTTCGTTGATATTTGATATTCGATATTTGATATGTGTGGCATGATTGATTTTGTTAGGGATGCTATTTGGATCTGCAAAGACCGAATTAATACCGAAATCCCAATTATTTTATTCAAACATCACATAAGCAACTTTGGCGCAAGTCGATGTGTGCACTCTCGCAAACAATGTCTTCTGTTCATCCAAGCGTGAACACATACCACACAAATATGATACCAAAGGGTATGGGATAAAACACTCTTTCAAAAGATGTATAATAATTTAATGTTCATAGATGATTTTTAAAATAATTAGCAATTTTCTAGGTGTAAACTTTTTTTTGACTCGCACTGTATAAAAAACTTCCCCAAGCGGTGCCTGTTGGTCCCCCATGATCCTTTATTTCTAATGTTATTCGAGAGCTGAGTTGATGAGATAGCCACCTGCCAGTGATCTCGCTGTGTGGTCTAATCCCTCCTAGCCAAACTAGTACTTAAGTCCGCCATAAAATATTAAATTAACATCTTCTTAAAGGAAAATAAAAATTTCAGAATGTTTTTAGTACATAGTAAATGGGAGAGAACCTCGCAAGAGACGTTACAGAGTTGCCAATTTGTGTTTTGTTAATCGCAACTTCCAAAATTAATAACTTTCTTATTTTTTAATCGGATATTGCTTGATCTTTCACTTATTTTGTTTCTTTCATTTTTCTGCTTTTATTTATTCCAGCTAATTATCAGTATGGGCTTCCCATTAAAGGCTCCATTAAATGACTAACCAATTAGGAGCAACTCAATATCTCTGTTAGAAATGAAATAAATATGAATTTATATAATATATATAGAATATATAACTAAAGAGTGCCCCTTTCCTTTATTTATGGCAAAAAGTATAATTTATCAGATAATTTTTTTTTGTTTTTTTGTAAAAAGGATTGAATTTCATAAATTAAAAAAAAAATATGCAAGTACAATCTCCCAAAAGGAGAAATATCCCTGAAGACCCTATGGCATATATAAATGACAACATTCAACAAATGTAACAATATTATTTCTTAATGAATATGATTTTGAAAAATTTCAAATATAACCTTCCCGAATGAGATATGTCCTTAAAATCCTAATGTCATGTCCAAAATGCACCCCTCATCAAAATATCACACCAGTAATTACTCCAATTATAACAGTTTTTACATCCTTGTGCACACGACCGGATGATCGGCTTTTAAAAAATACGCCTCATTTAATCTCATACAACTTATATGACTTTTTATATAAATGAAGTTATCAAGTGATAATTATGATTCCAATACATCATTGCTAATTATCTACTTGAGACTGCATGGATCAATGGCAAGAATAGAATCACACATGCTCCATTTATTACCAAAATGAAAGGTTAATTGATTGGATGAAAAAGTTATTCATGAATTACATTTTTTTTTAAAGTCACCCGGTCGTGCATACACATGTAATATTAAAGTAAAAACGCTATGAACTTGATTAGATCAAAGTCGGTCCTCATTGGGCTGTACAGGCAATAATGATATTAATAACACGTCACTGCTAATTATCTACATGGGACTTCATGGACCCATGGCAAGAATAGAATCATAAATGCTGAATTTATAACCGGACTAAAAGGTTAATTGGTTGGATGAACAAGTAATTCATCAGCTACATTGTTTTTAATTACAGAGTCGTCATGCAAAGACACGTTATGTAAAGCCTATTAGCTGTAATAGATGACAGTCGGTCCTCGTTGGGCTCTATATACTGCATTTATATTGCGCACGCGTCCACCCCATGGGAATGCTAAAGGTGTCTTCAGAGTATTATCCAGTTGCCCTAAGACACTAAATCCATTCAAGGAATAAATTCCTACAAGGTACCCATTTTACTACACCTTGGTGGAGAGTGGCAAATATAGATTAATATCTTGCCAAAAGACATTAGTGCCGCGGCGGGACTCGAGCCGCGAACCATTGTGATCTAAAGTCCGGTGAGGTATCCACTAGACAATGACACCTCTACCTCCAGTGTTTAAGAGTATTAAAATAAACATTGTCACCTTAATAATAATAATCATGGATTATTATGACAGTTTTTGACTTGGCCTGTTTCGTTAAATCACCAAAATATAAAACACTAAACTAAAAACAGTAGATCCCTCCTATACACCGGCCTAGCTGTTGGGAAGGGGGGGGGGGGGTAGCTTTGGGTCACACATGCTCCTAATTTTTCCTCTCTCGTAAATGTTTAAATCTCTAAAGTATCGCCTGTACATTAAGAGTATTGAGCATTAACAGCACAATATGTTAATCAGTCAGTGATAAATTATAATGACCAGAGATGATACTTTTCAACTCAAATAACGGTATGGGCATTTAACTGAGGGGCGGCTCGGATATTTCGTAGAAGGTGGCAGGTAAGGCCTGAAAATCTTTGATAAGTAAAAACAAAACAATACAAATAAAAAAGGAAAGAAAAAATAATAATGATACGTTCACATCCCACCCCCACTCTTTGATGGATAATTATGCAACATTAAAGGATACTTGCTGTTGACAGTCTGAGCCAAGTCAATACTATTTAATTGATTTCTCGATCGGCTGTCCAAATTGCGCTCAGAGCCTTTCAACTTTGGTGACGCACGTCGAGAAGTCCGTATTATGAAATAGCACTTCCAACCCCAATTATTCTGATGAGTTTCTCATTGGACAAAAAACGCTCCGCACGACCTTGGCAGTGGAAATGTACTTAAATACTGGTCACTAAGTTACTTTGGGCGACTAGCCAGCGAGCAGGAAACAGCAACTGTCAAGTTTTCCGAAGCAGCAAGAATAATGGTAAAATGATTTTATTTTGTCATTTCATACAAATCAGTAAATTATAATGTATTTTTAAACGTAATCTTTTGATTTATACTGATGAAGACGTCATCATTTATTTCATTTAACCGCCCCCCCCCCCTAGGCCACGACACCTCTATCCTAAAGTTGACAAGAAATACTATTATTGCAATAATTAAAATGGTTGCAAATGACTTGATACTTTATCATCGGTATATTGGCTGTTATATTTAAAGTTCAAAACGTCGAATCAAGTATAATCACGAAGATGCAATTATTTCTCACGTGCTCAATGTGCGACTGCATAAGCTTTATCTTTTCGTCGCAGATTAAGAACATCTGAAGCAATCAAATCTCATTTTTCAATTTCGATGTCTTCGATTTACATATCGTTATTTTTTCAAAAGTGTATTACTATTTTCCCTCCCGCAAAAGGACTTCCGCTGCTTCTGGCTTTATGGGTTGATTTTGCCTTCGACACTTCTCATATCAGGCGTATCTTCAATGGAAGGTAAACACAAAATCTATTACAAACTCGGATATTTACATAAAGAAGAACACAGTATGTAGTGAAACATACCGATTTTTAGGGGCGGCTTTTTAAGGGGGTGGGTATAGTTGATTGCAGCTATAATTAGGCGAAATATTGTTCCCAAAAAACAGTTATGTTATTATTTAGATTGATTGTTATTATTATCATTATCAGTAGTAGTAATATTAGTAGAAGGAGTAGTAGTAGTAGTCGTATAGTATTAGTAGTAGTGGGAGTAGTAGTAGTAGTAGTGGTAGTAGTAGTAGGTGGTGTAGTATTAGTTGCATTATTAGTAGTAGTATCGTTACCATTATTATAATATTATTCCTTTTATTATTTATTTAATTAATTTATTTAATATTCCTGTCAGAATTTTATGGACCATGATTGGGATAAATTGAAATGATTTGAGAGGGGCCCAAGCAGAGATGAAAAGTGCGAATTTGTTTACATTTGATAATAATTTAATATTCATTTTTAATGAGCTTCCTCCATGTGTAATCAAAATACTTTTGTTTGTATTAAAGTAAAGTATGTAACGACGTTCATTTATTCTTATCCATGCACATAATTAATCAACATGATCTCAAAAAACATTTTCTAATAGGCTTTCAAAAAATCAACTTACCGGTTATTTCAATAGCATTATATTGCCTATCTGCCATTGTCATGTCCGACCATTTCAATGTATGACGCAGAAGGCTATTAAAATTGTCTGAGTTTTTAATTTTAATCTCCGAAAGCCTTTGCAATCTTGGTATTTACATTTTTGTTCTCCATTTGCAAGCAGTCGATGAATGCTTGAGTTCGCCATGTCAAAACAATGGAATCTGTTCGGATCAAAGTAACAAGTTTGAATGCGCATGCTCTCGAGGTATCACGGGCACAATCTGCGAACTAGGTAAGAAAAAATATAACATGTATTCAGTTCATATTCTTTATTCCAATATTGCTCATCTGCTTTTAACTAACTGATCGATTATTATTTTTTTTTAAAAAGATAATCAGTCATATTCACAGAGAGTAAGATGATCTAGGTGTTTTTAATGGCAACATTTGATAAAGGTGCTTTCGACATTGTCGGTTAGGGGGTGTCTTCTTTTTTTGGGGGGGGGGTGTAATTTATTCACGTTATACATGTAGTTTCGGTTTTTAAAAATGACGATAGTTATGCCAGCATCCGCTAAAGTTTCTCCTTTGCTTTCATAATAAAATGTGACTGTCTTCAATGACCTCCCCCACACTTCCATGGCGCGGTGTCCGTCCTCTGTCCGTTCTAAGGCGAGACCACACATAATTGCATTCGTTTCCTCTTTCTTTATACCTCCTTCATCGCCATCTTTGTCGCTCTCACAACGACACCTTCTCGTCTCTCTCTCTCTCTCTCTCTTTTATCTCTCTCTCACTCTCTCTCTCTCTCTCTCTCTCTCTCTCTCACACACACACACACACACATATTCACCCATATTATATGCACACTCTCTCTCGTTTTGTCTCTTTTTCTCTACCCTCGCATTCCTATAGATATCAATGAATGCGCCAGTAATCCCTGTTCTAATCGAGGGACCTGCCTGAATCTCGACAATCGTTACGAATGCATCTGTCTGGCAGGCTTCGAAGGAACCGACTGTGAAACAAGTAAAAAAAATACCTTCTAAATTATCCGGTGAACTTAGAAATACATCTTTACTGAAACGATACATGGGTAGCTAAGAAAGACCTTCAAAATTTGCATCGAGTTTTTGAAAGTGCAGTGACGAGAACGTAGTAGAGTTATGGCCATTGAGGTAAAACCGTTAAGTTTCATTGTTTTACTATGTACAATGCAATTCCATGTACTTTATTTATTTTGTTGGAAATGGAAATAAACGAAATGAAAAAACAGTTCTGTTAAGGACAAAAAACATAACTAAATCGAGTGTGAAACTTTATGAATACTTTCTTTTTTGTTTAGTTTCAATGTTTCAATGTTGTTTAGTTTGAGTGAATAATACATAGATATACTAGTCTGAATCTTCCAATGGCCAATGTTTAATATATCCAAACCAACATCGTCACGCACAGTTCTACGTTTACATTTCTTAAAATTTACGACCTTACATCAAATGGGAAAGGCTGGTAAGAAACTACTTACAATTTTCGGAATAAATAGAGAGTTACCACATGAATCACAAGAGACGTCTCCTGTTATAATCAATCTAGTTTATCACTCCTCGGGAATAAAATAAATTTAGTAAGATTTGTATCAGTACCCATAGAGGGAAAACTGATAAGATGACCTATCGTACTGTTCTTATATCCAAAATCAAATGCGAGAGGTATATAAATGTATCTCTGTCTCGAAGTAAACCAATGACTAAATGATCTACTTTTATCATGTCTATAATTCTTTCTTTTCCAAGACATACTGAACATACTCTTTTTTCTTCTCAGACACCGATGAATGCATGAGCAACCCATGTTCCTACGATGGAACATGGAATTGCGCTGATGTGTTCAATGGCTATACCTGTACATGTTCATTAGGATTTCATGGTCGATTGTGTGAAAACGGTGAGACTGAATTATTCATCAACAGACCTTTAAAGTATTGTTAGAGACGATGAAATGAGACTTGATAGTGAGAATGAGGCAACTAAGCCACCAATTAATCTATGAAAAAGGCTTTCTCCACCCAGTTAGTCAAACGCGAAAAATACATGGCATAATTATTTTGTGTCGCCATAATACATCATGCTATTTGAAATTACCAATTACAATAATTGAAGATTAAACATATATATCGACCGTAATGAGATTTTAATTTCAGGTAGCCTGAAGGAACTTTAAAACGTTGTGCTTAATCAATGCTTCATAAACCATCTCAAAACTACAGATTATTACTGTACTACATACCCCTGTATAACCAAACACCTATACTTTAAAAGTCGCCCAAACCCCGTATACCACGTCTGTATTTAGGCTCAATTAAAATTGGTACATTGATTTATGAAGTGCTAAATGTCACATTGTTCATGATGTTCAAGTCATCATAATTCTGTAACTAAACAATGAAACGTCACCAATGCATCTATATGAATTTGATTTCCCAATTGATTTCATGACCCATATTATATATATATATATTTCTTCATTTCGTTATCATTATTTTATCCGATACTGAGGGTTTAACACTTGGCCTTCCATATATCAATGAACTAAGATAAGCCACGTTTATTTCAAACTACACTCCTTTCGGTAATTATAAATGTGGAGCAAATACCTACTGAATTAATTTAAGTTTCTGAAAATCAAAATAATCTAGGCCTATACCTATTTCTAAATGATTTAACAAATACTTTTGTACAGTATTATGTGACTTGATACAAAGCTTTTAGGAAGCGCATAGAGACGTAACGTAATATGAAATGCGCTATACAAGAACCGAATATTATTATTATTATTATATGACTTATTATGATTATACTCTCTTTTTTTTAAAGAAACAAATGAGTGTTTGAATGAGCCATGTTACAACGGAGCGACTTGTCATGATGAGGTAAACTCCTACAGATGTACTTGTCGACCGGGATTCGAGGGGCAACATTGTCAAACAGGTTTGCACACCACTCCTTTTTCTCTTTTGCCTAAAATAATAATAATAATAATATTTACCTTTTATATAGCGCTTATCACAAATGTCTTTAAGGGTAATTGATGACATTTATTTTAAAACGCAGCAAAACATAGGCTTGAAGTCAATGACTGTCTAAAAAGCAGTATAGGTTATGAAAAACGACAGCTGTGCATCAAAGTATTTATGTCCTCAAAAAACGAAAAAAGAATAACAACTAACAAATAAAAACAATGGTAAGGATTCGCCTTTATATTTGTTTGTTCCACTTGGACAACAGTGTCTATTCCTCACTCTTACCATTTCATTACATTTTAGTTGAAAGCAATACCTAGTGGCATCAAAACATGCAGAATGTTCTAGCCCTTCTCTTTGTTTGACTCTCTGATAAAATAATAACTTTTTCTTATAAAGCGCTTTACCAATTATTACCGACTAAAGGGCTTACAATATCATTTTTACCCCGGTCAGTGAATTCAATACTATTCGACACATTGCAGTTCACATTCTCAACTCCCTAAGGAGCATTCCGGCTAATCGCCTTTTTTGTTTAGAGCGTGCGCGTGCTAATCCAATCACATTGGTCGCTCCATTCTACCGCGTATTTTAGCACCTGGGTGGAGAGGAGTAATGCAGATAAAATACCTTGTTCAAGGACATAAATGCCTCGCTGGGGCTCGAACCAATGACCTTTGCGTTCTCAGTCAAGTAATTAAACCACTCGAGTACCACACCTCTACAAATAATTTCTGTGTTCTGAATACCTTCTTAATTTTACTCTCATATCCAATAGATATAAACGACTGTTTTGTTAACAATTGCCTGAATAATGGTTTCTGCATCGACGAAGTAGAACAGTTTTCATGCGCCTGCCCTCAACCTTACACTGGTACGCTGTGCGAAGAAGGTATGTCCGATATCATTTTTACTTAACCTCACTCACATGCCCATCCCCAACACATATTTACAAAAGGTAGGACAGTTCTGTGGAAATTTGATTCAAGCTACGCAACCATTGTTCTCTCAATTCCTTTCACATTATCTATAAACATTATATGTTTATAGATAATGTGAAAGGAATTGAGAGAACAATGGTTATATGATATATATTTATATACTTGTATATATAAACTATTGAACACACGAGAGGAAAAAACCCCAAATTCATTGCAACAGTTTTTAAGTCTTAAAGGAGGCAGTTTAATATTTCAATAAGTTCAAGTCAGGCAATATCTGTACATAATGTTGAATTATGTGGGGATGAACCAAGGATTCTGTGAAGATGAAAACACTTTCTCCTTTTAAACTGATCAGATCTGAAAATATAAAGCCTTTTTTAATTATTAATAAGAAAAGAAAAGTTTATAACTAAAACACCGTTTTGATGGATAAGGGGCCTTTCTTTTAATACTATTTATTTTCTTCTCGTGTGAAGTTAGGACGGATGATTTGAAATTTCACAAGGCTACCTTTAAATAAAATCTATGATGGGAACGAGTTTGATTAGTTGGATATCACTTTTTTGTCAGAACTTAAAATACACCTATTGATACATTGTTTCATCGTTATGATCTTTACAATTTCTTAGTTAGAAGGCACCATCTTTAACAAAAATATGCAAAACCTTCTATTGTTTTTTATTTCATTTTTGTGTCCAAGCACATCTCAAGCCAGTGGCTGTATTAGGTTAAAGACCTTTCTCATTTCGTTACGTTTTTACTCACGTGAAATTATTAAATTAAATCGAAAAAGTCTTCTCACCTTTTACTATTATGAAGTAGTTCTTTGTTAATTAATGGAAGGTCCTTGTTCATTTGTTTTTGTTTCCGATTTGTTGTTACGCCACAGTTCAAGATGAATGTGAGAACAGTTCATGCCAGCACGGAGGCACATGCTTGGCTGGTTTCAATACGTTCAATTGTACTTGTGCATTGGGTTACGAAGGTCCATTCTGTCAACACGGTAAATCTAATTCATTTTCTTACAAAAATTTATATTTTGCGTGCTGATCTGTGAAGCCCGATAAATTAGATAATGCACGAACAAGGTCGTAGCCTGTATAATGGTGAACTTTAGAGGGGACGAAACCTTGAAAGAAGTATAAGTAGTGTACAGCTAGTAGCTTACGTACACAGTTAATCAGAAAAAAATAATAAATAACAGGCATCTTTGGGTAAACAATTTAGGGGGAGGAGGTAAATGAAATAAATGATGACACCCGCCCCCCCCCCCTATGTGTGCTCTATTCCATGCGAGTGCGTTCGTCGACTTTACTAACTCAAAATTCGTCGCTGTTTTCACGAAGTGACGGTAGTGAAAAAAAAATTGCATTCACTTTGCGTTACGATTTTCCTCGCTACCGTCACTTCGTGAAAACAAGGACGAATTGTGGGCAGAAAATGATAATATTTATAAAACCCTGGTGGTGCTATTAATCTATGTTGTTCACAATTTTTTTTAAAGTTTAAGAGCTGCAGGATGAGAAACAGAATCACCAAGACCTAAAAAGCATGGTTATAATCAATGAACAACGATAACCAAAATGATAACAATAACGAAACAGAAAAAAAACTAGATGGAATTTTGACTGCGCGCAGTCGAAAATGATGCCTCCGCCATAGAGCAATTTAAACAAGTTTGGAGTTTAAATCTCCAGTGGTTCTTGAGATATCATGATAACAATCTCAATGTATGGAATTTCATAAGTTGACCTCTGTGACCCTTGACCTTTGACCTACGTGCTCCAAAATCTAATCAGATTGTCTTCCTATGGTGATACACACTATCATTAAGTTTGAAGTTTAAATCTCCAGTGGTTCTTGAGATATTATGATATGGTGATACATACTATCATTAAGTTTGAAGTGAAAATTCTCCAGTGGTTCTTGAGATATCGCGATAACGATCTCAATGTATGGAATTTCATAAGTTGACCTCTGTGACCCTTGACCTTTGACCTACGTGCTCCAAAATCTAATCAGATTGTCTTCCTATGGTGATACACACTATCATTAAGTTTGAAGTTTAAATCTCCAGTGGTTCTTGAGATATTATGATAACAATCTCAATGTATGGAATTTCATAAGTTGACCTCTGTGACCCTTGACCTTTGACCTACGTGCTCCAAAATCTAATCAGATCGTCTTCCTATGGTGATACATACTATCCTTAAGTTTGAAGTTTTTACATCTCCAGTGGTTCTTGAGATATCATGATAACAATCTCAATGTATGGAATTTCATAAGTTGACCTCTGTGACCCTTGACCTTTGACCTACGTGCTCCAAAATGTAATCAGATTGTTTTCCTATAGTGATACACACTATCACTAAGTTTGAAGTTTAAATCTCCAGTGGTTCTTGAGATATCATGATAACAATCTCAATGTATGGAATTTCATAAGTTGACCTCTGTGACCCTTGACCTTTGACATACGTGCTCCAAAATCTAATCAGATCGTCTTCCTATGGTGATACATACTATCCTTAAGTTTGAAGTTTAAATCTCAAATGGTTCTTGAGATATCGCGCTAACAAACTCAATACAAGGAATTTCATAAGTTGACCTCTGTGACCTGTGACCTTTGACCTACGTACTCCAAAATCTAATCAGATCGTCTTCCTATGGTGATAAATACTATTCCCGAGTCTTAAGTTTAAATCTTAAATGGTTCTTGAGATATTGTGATAACGGTCAAACGGGACGGACGTACGGACGGACGTACGGACGTACGGACGGACAACCCGAAAACATGATGCCTCCGGCACCACCTTCGGTGGCGGAGGCATAAAAACACTCATGAAAATTGTTTTTTTTGTTGTGGACACTCTGCATGACAACAGCCTTACAGCATCTAAAGTGTAATGAATTCATAAAGTGATGTGTTCGGTTCATTGCGTATAGTCTAAAACGAACACAAAGAACAGTATACACACGCGAACAAAGACACGGAACAAAAGCTGGCAATTAGTAGATGGTTTATTAAAACAAACCATTATCGAACCACCAACGTTACTCACTTTTGTATAAAAAGGGAGACTAGTAGATAATTATAGGGATAAAGTCCCAAAGAACCGGCGTGAATAATGAGGGAATAGAGAGAAAGAGAGAGGGAGAGAGAGAGAAAGAGAAAGAGAGAGGGAGAGGGGAGGGGGGGGGGGCAAGGCGGAGGCGAGATGGGAGGAGGAAGCAGAAGTGTTACCAGGGGTAACGTTCATGTATAGTTTTAGAATTTGTGAAAAGGTGATTTTACTTCATATGTTTTCTTTCCATCCCAACAATGATTCATGAATGATTAAAACCAGAGGAACATTATTTGGAACACTTTATGAAATTAGACTTAAGTGCATACAAGAACTGAATAATATTATTATTATTACGTGCTGTTCCTGTATCTCAACAGAAAATGGGCATGCAGTATACGAAGTATAAACAATTAGCAAGTACGAAAGAGTAACAACTATTATGATTTTTTTTTTTGCAGACATCGATGATTGTGCAAGCCGCCCTTGTTCTAACGGAGGTTCATGTATCGATGGAATTAATGAGTACACATGCATGTGTGTGCAAGGTTTCATGGGCTATCAATGCGAGGAAGGTATACACGAAATCAAAATTAAAGAAGAAATTCAACTTTAAGACATGTAGCTGGTATTAAGACCGTTTGGCAAATTTAAACCACCGATGCCCCATAAAATGACTTAGAGAAATGTGCTTTACATTTGGGTGTTGTTATAGAAACGCAGTTTAGTGAATATTTTTGTACCTTTGTTGCACATAGCTGCTTTTTCTTCCACTTACACTTGTCATTAATCAGACTTTTATAAAAAATGAAACAAAGACAAAAATTAATAACCTTTCCCTCTACCCCCCCCCCCAAAAAAAAAACACGAACAAGAAAGGAAATGCTGGTTTTCTATCATTCAATTATTTGTTAACGCAGATCACCAATCAAAGGTTTTTGTTATTTCAATTGTCTATGACGCTACAACACACTGGATGTGCATGTAAATATGAGTAGATTTCATTGATTAAAATCTATCACTTTAAAATTAATATTTCATATCTGGATAAGTGAACAAAAATGCATTTAATGGTCTGGAATGGAACGACTTTCAAAACAGCAAATGAATGTATATGTATGTATGTATGCCTATGTCCCCTACTAAATTATGATAATATATTGTATCGTTTTATAATAACTCAGGTGAACTGCCTGAATGATTCGCGGTAAATAACTAAGCATGTTGCTTAACAACCACTTTTAGGAAAAAAGGAAACATTCAGTTTGACACTAAAAATAAAACATTTTATTTGATTTACCCTTCATTTAATAACATTGTACTTCCCGGTCTTTTCCAGTAATTCAAGGAGAATAAATATAAGAATTGTTCTGACTGAATATTGTCGTTTTTATTTCATGATTGACATGTAATCTTCTTCCGCGACGAAATCCAGAGGTTGATGACTGTGACCCGTCTCCTTGTGAAAGCGGAGGTTCATGTTCAGATTATCACCATGGATACTTGTGCAACTGCGCATCTGGCTTTCATGGACAAAACTGCGATCAAGGTAGCCAACTCGCATTACTCCCTTTAACATTTCATCTTATATTCTTAAAAGATAGAAATGATAGTTCATGATTCCTCAGTATTATGTATTAAATGTGTTTTCGGATTAATTAGACACTAATAACATTGCACCTGCTTTCGAAAAATCAACTAAAGGGCAATTCAGTAGCCTATTATATAGGCCTATCCTAATGAATTCATGTTCGGAATCCGTAATACGTCGTTGTAATGTCTACACATTTCTAAAATATTTGTAGAGGTTTTGTGGTCTAGTGGATAAGTCACCCGACTGTAGATCACAAGAGACGGGGCTCATATCCCAGCCCGGCACTAACGTCCTTAATCTACAATATGCCACTCTCCACCCAGGTGTTAAATTGGTACCCGGTAGGATGCGAACGGTTATGTAGTTTACTTAGCATTGTGAGCGTCTCTAAAAAGGCGCCTGGCCAGAATGCTTCCCAGGGAGTGGGAAATATGCATACATTGTGTGTGGGCAGCCCTGAATCCAATGACCGGGGTAATAATATATCTGTAAAGCACTTTGAGATGTCGTCGATGGTTTCAGCGCTGTATAAACGCGGAATATTATTATTATCATTATTATTACGTAATAAAAACAGCAACAGCAACAACTCAACCAAAAAGATGCAATTTAGACTACAATATAAGCAATGCAGAATGGTCGAAAGGTTTTATAACCTTGGCTTTCCATCGAAATTAGTTAGATAGTGTCACCCCCCCCCAAAAAAAAAATGTAAATGTATCCTGATTTGGTATCGTAAACGATTTTGCATCATGCGCTTATGAATTACTGGCCCCATGCATCAAATGGTGAATGGAATATAACACTTATCAGCTCCTGATTTGGCAACAAAGGTTTAGCGGATATTACCAAAAATCAGCAATTTTCTGGTGATTAAAAAGACAAACAGCTGACATGAATGAAAATAGGTAAGGTAAGAGTATCACCTCAGGTTGGTCTCACGTTATCATTCTTGTTTTGGCGTAGATACCCTTGAATGCGCGAGTTACCCCTGCCTCAACGGAGGAACGTGCCTGGAGGATGTCGACATGTTTGTATGTACCTGCCTGGAGGGATACGCGGGGATCACATGCGACCAAGGTATTTATTATTATCATAAGTAGATATGGATTGCTGCAGTGGTTTTGCTTAAAATGATGTTTTTGTCAATAAATAATAAATTCCAAAATCTTCAAAAACAAAGCTCTTTCAGAGAGAAAAAAGATATACACACTCCATATTGAGATAGGGTAGCCATAGCGGGACAATTACATTATAACATAATAATATATACGCAAATGAAAATTCCCGAAATTAATCAAACATTCTTTAAGAAGATGCACATAAAAAATACACTCGTTACAGAATGATTCGATTTTTGAAAACTTTCTTTCCAAGAAACCACGGACCATTATTTGACGGCCGAGGAGAAGTTTGCTAGCGTGTTACCGAGCTGTCCCCTCCCACTCGATGGAACCCAAACAACATCGATAGGACTTGTTGTAAAGGAGCACAAACAAGCCAACCAGCTAGTCCGACCAGGCACAGTCTCTTTTTTGAACAATTATATTTGTACAACGCCGGGTAAGTAGGGAGTTACACTTGGCAGCTGAATTCATGATCTTTTCCCGCTAGTAACAATATAAATGAAAACAATGATTTTTAACGACAATGACAATGACAATAACGATAGTAGTGATTGTATTAATGATAATAATAGTAACCATGCATTAATTCAAAATGCGACTGATGTCCACCCCAATATGGTGCTGAAGGCGCTTACAGAAAGACAATCTGATCTAAAGCCAACGAAATTGCACGTACCTTCTAATGTAAAGAACAGCTCAGGATGGCCACAAAGTGTTGTCTACAAAACAATCGAAATAAAAACAGTCGAATAATACCTGCTGATTCTGCTCAGCTCGGTGACTAATTCTAATCAACTATATACTTCATTTAACGTTATTTTTATGACCCAAACAACAGCCTAAAATAACCTAAATATGAACTAAATCTAAAGAACTAGATGAAGCCCGCCCCGGAGTGACCGTTTCTTCTAAAAAAATATTACTATGGCTACACGGCTGGGAGCTATAATTATTGAAACTACAACTAACGTGTGTTCTCTGAGGGCACACCCACCAATACAAAGCAGCACCGACGTGGACTGAGAACAACATTTCTATTTTACCCTGCGCACGGTAGGGAATTGTAGGAAGGTGGCGAAACAAAAATCATGACGATTGACTGTTGATTATTTGTTCCAGGATGTGCGAGCTCTCCTTGTTTAAACAATGGAAACTGCAGTGAGAGGTTGGCTGGCTACTTTTGCACATGCCCTCCCGGATTTACCGGTCAAGATTGTGAAACAGGTTCGTTATCATTCAGCTTCTACTTTTTTTGTTATTTGTTCGATATGGTTCATAACATTTATGTACGGATAAGTATGACAATGAAATGTACTGAAATAAATTCGAAATATTATTTAGTTCGTTCCTGTTAGATATTCTTGCTATAATGCAATGAGAAAGTAGTCAACTTATAATTCTCTTCTTTCTAATTCCTCTTTCCGACAATTTAAATCATGAGCTGTCATTAGTTAATTCATTTAAGTCGTCTCATCAATTCAAATTACATTGGATAGTGTGAAAGCTATAAAGTTTACATGGTTTTAGAACTATACGTGACTCTTGTTTTGTTATGCCATTAAAGGATTACACCCGAATTGAATGAAAGATCACGACGACTCTATTAATACAATTTTATAATCAAAATTTGAGACATCGGCACGTTTTTGTTCTTTTTTTATTAACAATATGTAGTTTCTAACAAAACTGTATTGGTTCTCCATCACTATTTACGTTGCCACTCCACAGATATTGATGAATGCTCCTCGCATCCCTGCGGCAACCGTGGTGCTTGCATTGACGTCATCAATGGATACAACTGCACCTGTACCGCGCGATTTAGTGGAGTCCACTGCCTTACTGGTAATAATGATAATAACAAATCGATCGCAAAAACTTTCAAGAAATAAATCGCAGGGCAATTTAAATACCTTAATGCATCGCCTAAAGAAATAATGTACGGATTACATATTACACTTTGTAATTTTCGCACATGTTAATAGGTGACGCACAAGGCTTGTGAATTTGGCTTAGACTGATTTCTTGAAAGTCTCTACGAACATGATTGTGGAACAAATAATAACTCCCCGATCGGCTAAGAAATACACCGTAGAGTAAAAGTATGCAAACCTTCCAAAAGAATTTGAAACGCGAACCTTAAACACACTGACTACCTTTGTTCGCGCCATTGATTTGAATGAACTCACATAGACTGAACATTGTCTTGCCCTCTTTACAATTTTTACCTTCAATTTGATATTCTATTTATAGTTATGTTTTATATATATATATATATATATATATTTTTTTTTTTTTTTTTTTTTTTTTCAATACTTTTAAACGTGATAAATATTATACCCATCCTCTTATTCCGGTCTTGTTTTTTTTTCTTCTTGTTTTTCTCTTATGTTTACCTTGATGTTTTTTTTGTGTTATGTTATCGGTTTTACAGTTTAACTCGTATGCTTGTTGTCGTTCTAGTTGAATATCTGTAATGAACTGTCTTATTGTTTGTTTGTTTTGTACATTAATTTGTTAGATATTTATTTGTTGTAACTACATGTACATTTTTATTACCTTACTTCTTGCATTTGCAACGTTTTACATATTATTGAATAATTCACTGTATACTTATTGTTATTTTTCTGTTTGTGGACCCCTTCGAAAATCAGCTGTGCTGAAAGGGCCATCCACCCTATGAGAGGAAATAAATAATTAAAAAAATTAAAAAAATTACCCCCCCCCCCCCGCCAAGGCAACCACGCTTGGATAAACACTATTATTTTTCATCTTCCGACCCCGAATTTGACAGACAGAAGTCACAGAAGACATTTTTAAATCATTAAAGCGAAAATAATTATGAGAAAACTTTCGGTTCCCTTTAAAGTGAACTAGTATCGTCGAAAATCAGTCTGCCTAGCTTATTAAATTATTTAATTTGTAAGTTATGATTAGATTCTTCAAATACTGTCTTCAAAATGATCAATCTCTCTCTGGATGGTGACTTATACAATGGGTGGTAGTCGTTCGGGGCTGTAGTCCAGTGGGGACTACGAGATTGAATCCCAAATGAGGCTGCAATCGGTGTTAACTGTCATCACAACGCCGGAGAAAGACTTACAAGTAGACCACTACATGTTGATACAACCCACAGGGTTCAAATTACATGTTGGTAGCCAAGCATAGGTTAGGCACCCAAGAAGTAGTTCATCCTACGCTTGTTCGTCCATTTTTGTACTGTTGATAGGAAAGTGCATGTAATGCGCAGTCATCAATATTGACATCAGTGCATAGAATTCATCTATAAAAGTAAATTGTGGCATAAATTGTTCAATTTGTTATGATTTTGGAATTGGTTTATTTCAGAATTAGATTTCTGCACCAGGTCCAGCAGCCTTTGTCACGGCTCATCTACTTGCTTGGAAGCATTGGAGAGTTACATGTGTGTGTGCAGTAACGGAATGACCGGTGAAACATGTGAAGAAGGTACACACATTGTCATATTTATCCGTTAGATCAAATTTCAAGTTATTTGTTAAGATGCTAGAATATTCATGTCACTGCTAGCCTGCCCACTCCTGAAAGAGCCATGCACCCAAGATGACCTGGAAGCCGTGAATTGCTGTGCCAAAGCCTGTGTGGACCACTGGACGGGACTGGTGTAGTGACTCGATAAGAAGAAGAGGTATCAGATAGTCATTACGAAATGGATGCCTTTGTTTTCTTGTTTCTTTTCTTAGCGATTTTCTTTAACTTACGAATCAAATACAAAACATTTCATCAGCATTCAACTAAAACGTACCGAAAAGGAGAAAAAGGGCGAGATAGTAACGATATTTGACTTAAACAACATCGACACAGCAAGCAGACTAAAATGAGAAGATACACAAAATAATAAATAACCTTGGCCTGCTAATTCGACGATAATATCCACTTTAAACGTATGAATAAAAAATTACACGCATTTCAATTGAGTGTCAAACAACTTGTACAAAATTAAAAACGTTTTTTGATGCGATGCCAATTATGAAAGCAAGCGTGCATTGTACGTGAACCGTTGAATAGACTGCAGTTTACCAATGACATTTCGGTCAACTTCTTACCCCCAGATATCAATGAATGTTCCAGTAACCCTTGTCTCAATGGAGCACTATGCATGGATGGACTGGATCACTTCAACTGCACTTGTGCACCAGGTTTTACGGGAATAGTCTGTGATGAAAGTAAGTAATAATAATAAAAATATAATAATATAATAATATGAGCATTGTAAAGTAACATGAACCTGTGTTTACACTTTGGCCAGATTTTTTTTTTTAAGAATTGTATTGCTATTGAAGATGTATTTTGGAATAAAGTCAACTTCATGAAAAGAATGATAGAAAACCCAAGATGCCCAAATATATATCACTTTCGGTATTTTGGTGCAAAAATAACATTCCAGAGATAGTATGAGAAAATTCATAAACGGGATAGTTTCAGGCTGCGAGGTCCATGAAGATCCCCATATGGTAATATGACGACATGCGGGCAGCTCGCTGTCTTTATATCGTCATGATTCGGTCAGCATGGCTCTCGCATATAACCTTATTTATTGTACTTTTATCTACATGAAATGAATAACTCAACAAAGTTTCATTTTCCCTTCGTTCGCTTTACATCTCGCAAAATTGATGAATTAGGATGATTTCTGGCAGCAAGGTTACCCAATACAAATTTAAAGATCCATAATTAAAGTGTAATATTTTTGCCCGCTTGCTCGCAGTATTTGAGATTCGGATAATATATTTCCAGGCACTCACCAATGTGCATGTACATCTTTGTGCGCAAGGGATGAAAAAACAAATCCTCTTTGATGATTTTTGGATTGGGGTGACGCGAAAAAATTTAACTCCTAAAAAGGATGACGTGATTACAAACAAATATGTTGAAAAACGCTGATCTAGTACACTAAAGGATGATGCCCCCAATGACTTAGCCCACGCTACGTCACTGTCTGCCCAATTGCTTGCGGTACCTATTGAAGTCATAGTTTTGCAGACAGCAGAAACACTGCGTTTATCAGTATTCTAGAAAGCGTAGCGACCGTTCGACAAAAAAAATTGATATTAGTATATATCGTTGAAATGCAAAAAAAAACAAAACATGTAGTTTTCCTTTTTTTCCTTGAATTCTTGTTGCTTTTGAATCATTCTGTTTGTATTAGGCATTTTGCCTTAACTCTTGCAATGTGCTTTTCTTATAAAATGATGATTTGCAAAGTTATTATTGACTGCTGAAACAAAATTTGAAATCAGATACTGGATATGCATAACTTTATTGGCACATTTTTAAAAATTCTTTTTAATTTTTTGTCAGACATCAACGAATGTGCAAGCTTACCGTGTCAAAATTCGGGAACGTGTGTAGATGGTATTAATGGATTCACGTGCGACTGTACTCTATACTTTGGCGATGTAACATGCAACGAAGGTATAGTAAAATGACAGTAGAAACGTCAAATGATTGATTGAATGTTTTTTGGTTCCATGTGTACTTGGAATGTATAAATGTGAGCATGTTAGAAAATATGTCAGACAAGGCATAGCCTAACTGTGAGTTATATTGGACCAGTGTGCCAGAGGACCAATAGCATGTAGATTTGATAGTATCCTTTGAAGAAGAAAAAGAATGATAATGATCCAAATTATTCCTCTTTAAAGCTCCCTAAACTATTTTTTTTTAATACTAAACTTTATAAAAATAAATAGTATCTTAACGTTAAGTTAAAATACAATCTCCACAGAAAATGGTTAATGTGATTGATCGATAAATTAATAAAAACATCAACTACCTTCCTTGATGTATCATCTTTTCTGTTTTCCCAAAGTCATGCTTGGATGTGTGAGCTCTCCCTGCCAAAATGATGGTACTTGTAAGAATGTGGTTAACCTTGGCTTCGCGTGCTCTTGCTCCCCGGGGTTCCACGGGATGACTTGTGAAATTGGTAAGATGGAATGCTTAGATAAAACTTCACTTTATTGCCTGGCTTTAATTTCTTGCTGTATTTTTGTTTGGCTGCAACTTTCATGTTTCATGAGCCTTCATTTTATGGATGGTTCAAGAAAGAAACAAATAATAAAAAAATACATAGCTTCAGCCAGAAATGGAATTGTACGAACTCGCTAGTTACAAGGTATTGCATTGATATCGAGGGTATTTTGAAAACACGTGCAGAAGCATTATTAAGAAATATTTATTACCACTCTGAAAACTGTTGTCATAAATCACAGATACATGAGGAAAGAAAATGAGAACATTATGTATTTCTCCAAACATTGTAGGCGCTATGGTATTTCATAGATTATAGCATAGGATAAATGACCATTATTATTATTATAAGCATTATTATTATTGTTATTATTATCATCAATCGATGTACGTTATGTGAAATCACATCCACATTACTGTCACACATGTAACCAATGATTTCCCACTCATACTCATACATGTTGCGAACACGGAAGAACCATGACATAGCCTTCCAGCAAGTGAAGGGAAGTCCTTACAGTCCAGAGAACTTCCAGTGACTACTCCTTTGGCATCTAATGCCCTCATCCCATTAAACCTCATTTGTTTTCGTCACACCGCTTGCAATCTTTAGTTCATCTTAGTGATAGGCTGCATAGCTCTTTAAAGATTACTTGAAGAAGAAAAGGAATAACCTATCAGAAATCGTTACATAATGACATCAGATTAGAACAACATTTACATAACGACATCATTTTGGAATAAATGGACAGTTGCTATTCTTTCCTGGTTTTTCTCAAGCTGAAATTGCTACGAGAAAGTCGAGTAGTATAGCAAATACTTAAGCCGGTTGCTTTTTATACAAAGAAAGGAGGGGTAGAATTTATGTTTTTATGTTGACAAAATGATTGTTGGATCTTTTGTTTTCCCTTTCAGATATTGACGAATGTCTGAGTTCTCCATGCCATTACGCTTCTACTTGTACAGATGGAAACAACGGATACACATGTACTTGTGCCGAGGGTTACCAGGGGGTAGATTGCAAGACGAATACGGGTAATTGTATTCACTCTTATATTTTACAAGTAAAAAAAGAAATGCTGAAGTCCCGACGAGATTGTTTCTTGAAGAATTATTTTCAGAAAGTTCGGAAGAGAAAATCAGTCAGTCCTGGAAGTCTGGTTCATGTAGGAGAGGGTAGGAATTGATACCTCCGAATTAAACTGACTTAAACTGATTAAACTAGTTAGATATCCTAGAATCAAAAGGATATAATCCATTAAAATAGTCTCTCAGATAATAGGGGGTGGGGGGGGGGGGAGCGAGGCTTGAAACGGGTTTTGCCAGTCAATCAGTGGCTTACAAAAGAAAACAAACATACAAAACAAAAGAGTAAATAGAAAAATCCCATTGGCAAAGAAATATTATCTAATATTAGTTTACAGCGGTACAATCAACAATATTGACGTTCTTTACAGAGAAAAAGCTTAAATTTATAATACTAGATTTTCTTATTTTTTTTATTGATTATGATATTTCCAGATGATTGCTCGGCTGTGTCAGTATGTGAGAATGGTGGCCTATGCTTTGATGATGAGCCTGGAGGAAGCGTCACGTGTGGCTGTCCGCCTGGCTTCGAGGGACAAACATGCCAAATAGGTATGGACAGTGCACAGTCATGTCCGTAAACAAAAGAGTGCAATGGTGTCGATGGTTCCTTAAGATTTAACCCTGGCCCTAAACCTGACCATAAACCTAACAGATAACCATACAACTGTATCGGTAACCCTTTATTTTGGTAACCCTTTGACGAATTGAGGGCGGAAGCAGTTTTCGCCGGAGCAAATGTCGTATCAAAGGTTTTGTCGAGGCCTATCACTCAGTCAAGCGTTGCATATGACTGCGACAGTGCTATTTTAATGTTCGTGATAACTTTATTTGCAGTTTATTGCCGTTTTTCTTTTGCTCATGTCATTTGAAATAGATGTGGAAAAGATCACCAATAGGAAATAAAAAACGGAAAATTGGAGAGTTATGACATGAAATTTTATCATTCACCTAATCTCAGCCCAATGCCAAAACTGCACAACGATTACCGCATTCATGTCACCTTAGTTAATGCTGTTCTAAATGCTTTTGCTCCAGATTTCTCCACGGCAGTGTATTTAGAAGCTTTTTTTTCTTTCTATTTTCTTTTGTTTGACGAGATATTGATGAGTGCCAGAGTGATCCTTGTGTACGGGGATCATGTTCGGATGGTACTTCAGATTTCATCTGCCATTGCCCAGCAGGATACACCGGCAAGACGTGCGCTTACGGTGAGTTTCAGATTCAGATTTAATATGCTGTATGCATTCTTTCGACAAAGAGCAGTGACTTTATGACTGACACTTTAATGTAATTGGGTGCGATAACAAATACAAGGCCAAGTAAAATGAAGTTTTAGTTTCTCGTCCTCTCTTCCTTAGTTTTGTTGGGCCCACCTCATAACAAAAAGTTATTTGGTATATTTGTTTTGAACTGATATAAATAAGAATCGGAGGACTTCAAGGAACAAGGTTCAATATAAATCATTAGTATATTGCAAATCTTAAATATTGACTTGCAATTCCACTTTGTTTGTTTTTTAAGCCTTTTTACGCCTAGTGCATTTACAATTAAATTAAATCTGTGTTAATTGACCCAATGATACTTGTATGTACAAAAATATCGGGTATCAAATGATATGTAACCCCCTCATTTTCATAAAATATTGAAGACGTTTAATTAGAAATCAATTCTACTTGGCCTAAATCTTTTTTTTTTAAACAACGGTATGATTTGTAAGGATATATATAAATACCAATTACGTACCTAACGTTATTATTTCACTCAATCTTTCTCTCGACAGAGGAAAATGAGTGCGATTCGGAACCCTGTCAAAATGAAGGCACCTGTCATGATATGTTTGACGGTTACAACTGCACCTGCGCAGAAGGGTTCAGTGGATTCGATTGTGATATCAGTGAGTATTAATACATTTCCTTCATCTGTAAATTTAATAAATACCCAGAATATTACTAATAATTTTTTTCTTTTCTTCCAAGAGTTAACATTGGGGCCAGGATGTTGTTAAATCACGATCGTAAATATTTTAGAGAAATCAACCATAGCCAATTGAAATGTACGAACGATAAAATCAGAGGGTATTCTACCTGAATGTGATTTGTTTGGTATAGGCAGCAATAACATTACTGAAACTTTCATTAATACAAAGTTTTTGCGATCGTGATTTTATCTCTTATTTGCACTTCGTTTGATTTTCGAGTTCTCACTTCATGAAATATGACAGTATTGCCAATAAGCAGAGATAAGGAGAGATCTTAACGTCCAATAATTCGTCACTCTTTTGCCTGATTCATTTTTCAAAAACATTGAACGATTTATATGCTTTCACCCAGATCATCTTTCCGCGACTGGATTATCTCTCAAAAATTACATCTAAACACCCACCTATTGAATCGAACGGACTTTTATATACACAGAAAGGGTAAATAGGAAAACATAGGACTTATATATGTTAGTGGTTTATAATCGTTTTTGTCATTCTTTTACAACACAGATGAGGACGAGTGCGCTAGCAACCCGTGTCCAGGTATACAGACTTGTGAAGATGGACTCGGTGAATACGAGTGTTCTTGCACCGGTTCGTTTGCTGGGTATGCTGGGACTTACTGTAGCATAGGTATACAATTGTCATGATTATTTTTCCTACTCTCTAAGCAGTGGAGGATGATTGTATTTAGAAACAAACAATGAAACATTTTTCTTAAAAAGGAGCTTATGAACTAGAAGATAATGTCAAAAGGTTTTGGAATTATGAAAATTACTTCATCTTGGTAAACATCATATACATATGGTATCAAAACTTTGACACAAAATTGCAAAATATTTGTAGTCATATTTGGAACAAGAGAGCATTTCAAGAGCAAGCCTATCCAAATAACTTTGATATTATGGGATCTTTCCATCTCTCCAGAATAATAAAGAATTTGTTAGCTCACGGTCAAGCTATTTCAAATCTTAACCAAAACTCGACCTATTGTACAGACAATACTTATCAAATGTTGTGACATACACCACTGTATACCCCGCAGATCTTTTCGATAACGCAGGATATATATCTTGGTAATACGGGGTTATGTATTATTGTGTTCGGTCTGTTGTCTGAATGGCTCGCGAAAAATCGACTTTTACACCTCAGTAATTACACATCCAAACCGACTCCAAACCAAACAACTCTTGGTCTTTGGGTGCGATGTTCGGTAAGGTGTCGGTCTGATTTCGGTCTCGTGTGTTTGACTGCATTCTCTACAACACCTAGAGATGATCAAGCCTAGTGATGTTATGTTTGTTGTGTTTTTTAAAAATTTAATCTTAATTTTTTTTTTACAGATATTGACGAGTGTTTGAGTACTCCATGCCTCAACGGTGGATTGTGTTTGAATTACGTGAATCGATATGAGTGTGAACCGTCTGACTGTGAAGGCGAATGCATAGGTAACGGCTTACTTCGAATCACCGGGTCAGCGCGTCGGGTCAGGTGGTCGCGTTACTCTACCTTTTGTGTAAACATGCCCCTGTCTTCACGAAATGTAGGGTGTTAATGTATGTGAAAAAAACCTTCTCATCTACAAATGGTTGATCTGATTTACCCGACACTTTGTGAACACCCTACGGAATTTCTACGAAAGGTCACTTCCTTAACGTGCATATTCACATGATCTTCCGCTTTTGTATCATGAAAGGTCGTGTACCGCGATCACCCGACCGGACTCGATGACCCGATGAATTGAAGTAAGCCTAGGCAACAGTCTTTTCTGAACAAAGAAAAACACACAAAGAAACAACAACAAAAACAGCAACAAAAGTCTTCGGATTACACGAACTTTCGTGAATTATATAACCCCCCCCCTCCCCCATTCCCGAATGCTTTGGTGTACCGTTTGTGAAATACACCTCTCTTATCGCCAAAGCGTCGGGTATAATAATATTTACCCGAAATTTTCTGAAGAACCTATAGCAAAGCTACGGAATCTTGCGTCTTGAACCGACCCTTTTGAAAAAAAAGTTTAATAATCACAAGAGTTAATGAAAAGTAAAGCAATCATAAAATTGGTTATTGACTTATTCTATGGGCATTTTTTCATAGATGAATATGTAACAAAAATTAGACTAACCTCAAGGACAAATTAGGATTGGTTGTATTATGTTACCCGACCTTTCGTGAATACAGGGGCTATTTTTCTACCCCCCTATAATTTTGAAAAAATGGGGAGTACCCGGGGTAAGCAGACGGTGATTGCAGACGGTAGGAATGGGGGCTGATTACCCTTTCGCCAGAGATCTTGACCTAAAGTGACGAAACCCTTCTGAAAATTGTGAGAGTAAATTTTTGTCATCATCTTTAGACACATATCACCCTGTCCCATGTTCTCATATCCTGGATTCGTCAGTGGAAAAAAGAAAATTTCCCAAATGATCAGGGAAGGGTACAAATAGGAAATAACAAATGAGAAGGAAAAAAATACTTTTCATTATACACATTTTCGATGAAAAGATTCCTTAACAAAAACATAACAGAAATGAAAGCATATGAGGTTTGAAAGACTAGAGCAATTTTATACTTGATAACAAAAAGGTGATATTTGCACAGGTGGACTATATTCTTCCGCAGATCATTGTCTGGTACATACAAACCCCTTGTGAGGTGGCCCTTCAATGTGTCACTATGTTCATATTCGGGTCGAAACTGGTGTAATTCATCATCTACATGCTTAAGATGTTTGATTTGGTATAGTCATGTATGCTATGTTTAATTCTCATTTTCTTTACATTAATTAGAATTTCCCGACGGAGAGGAATACACTGTACAGCCCTTCGGAGAAAAGAGCTTCCGGTCGCCCGAATATCCCGCTCACTCTTCGTCTAGCGCTGAGCTGCAATTTACCGTCATCGTGGATAATAGTCAATTTAGCAAATCAATCGAGTATCACTTTGCGCGGCTTTACGTCTACTTCTTAAGCGATGTGCTTCCCGACTTCCTGTATTCTGCTAAGGATACGAGCTTCGGACCGCTTACAGTTAGAGGCTTTGGAACACCCCCCTTCGATAGCAAATTCAATGGGGCTCAAAAAATGACATTTAAGCTCGTTCCGAACCAAGTCGACAGTCGATTTTGGTTTAAATTTACAACTTACCCATTGGTTGATTGATTGATTGATTGATTTTATTTATTTCATTTAATATAACAATTTTTTGAACAATAAAGAATATAGTTGACAAGGTAAGATCAAAATTATGAAACAGGTTTAACAGGTGGATCTTTCGTTTGAAAGAAGAGTAGAGGAATGAGGGATACCGATTCGGTATTCTCCTGCCACGAATAGAATGTAATCACAGAAAAATCCCATCGCGTAATTCCTGTTTAGATCACAAAATACTGTTTATGTGAGGACCTAAAGATAATTGTTTTCAATGATGTGAGCAAAGTATTTCAAGGACCTTTCAAGTAAAAATCAATCAATGATATTCATGTGAGGAAGTGAAGTTATCAATGAAGGAGAAGACAAAATGGGGGGGGGGGGGCTCAAAGTGGATAATAAGATAATGATGTGAACAATGTATTCCAAAAAAATAATCCATTATTTTAGAATGAAAAGCACCAACGGCAGTAACGAAAAGTTAATGAGACTCTAAGAATTTTTGAGCAGGGTGAACAAAATGTTTAAAGATTTACAAACTTTCGAAGAGGCTTTCTTATAGCCTGCTTATAAGAGAAAACATCATACTGAAATTTTTCAGCACAAAACTTACGGATTTTCTGACACATAATTTTAAGAAGCCACTCTCCCATCCAAAGAAACAAATAAACTTATAAACAAATGCAATTTGTGTTTCTTTGGCGTGGAGGCCTGGGTGATCACTCATGTCTTTTATTTCTGTGATTCATTTTACATTTCCATTAGGACGTCATTGTTACAACAATTATATTAAATTAAATTTTACTAGCGAACTATTTGATCCGCTTGTTGGTACGTTTTCATTTTTACTAATAATGTACATAATTACGATCATTTAACAGTGTAATCAGTATGTAAGTATTTGATTGTAACAAGTAGATAAGCTGCTTTATTCATGTCTGTTTATGTATCTATACTAACATTCACTGTTTGCTTATGCATAATATATCATCATCATCAACATCATCATCGTCATAATAGTGATAATTTCTATAGTGATACATGTTTATAATCAATAATTATGCATTCATTTTACAACGAAATTTACATTAAATTGCTGTTCCATTCTTGATTGATTTTCATTGTTTCTTACTGATTAAGTGAGAAAAAAAACAGACTTAAACTTGTTGAAATGTAAATACTAAATGTGAGAACAATTTTGTCTAAAACGTTCCTTTTTTCTTAAGATTTTGCCGACCCGTTGAAAGTAAAACTATGCTCCATATTTGGACCAATGGCAATGTAATATGGCATTCTTAAATGACGAAATGACAATATCTTCACTATGACACAAGGTAGGCTCAGAAAAAGGTGATCTTTTTAGAATTGCAGAATTATTATATAGATAGTGGTAACGATGATATTGATTAATAGTAATAATAATAATACAAATTATGATAATAACAATAATAATAATGACAATGGTAATCGCCTTTAACATTTTAAGTATTTACTTTACTCCATAGAAAAAAACATTATTTTGTTTTCTTAAAGGTACTGGAAAGTGGTTATATGAACTTAAATTGTTATACAATATCAATTACACAAGTGTTAAATAGTTGGTATCAATTATACAAGTGTCGAATAGTCAGGAGTTGAATACATGTATACAGAAATATATAATCCCACGAATTCAGAATTTCCCGAATTTTACCGATGCTATTTTATGGCGTTCCTTTCACTACCAAGTACTATGCACTTGAGAACATTAATGGGTATGGACAAAATATATCCATTTACATGAAATTTGGTTCGGTTCAAAGGCTATCATTCTTAGTAGATTCTTAGTAGGTCCATGATAGAATCATCAGGCAAACCGAAATCTTCGATGCGGTCGGTAACGTATGGGGAAAACTAGTTTGGACATTTTAGCCTAATGTTATACCAAGAAGCACTTAAAACTCCTTGGTTATACACTATTTACTCATCCCTCAGTAAAATCCCCAAATTTGAAAATCAATTTAGAGTTTGCAAGTTTGCTTTTTTCAGGATTTCGCAGCCCGTGTAGACATTTTAATAGTAGAATATATACACTAGTAGTAAACAATATAATCTTACGAAACTCATATAATCTGAATTTGATTTTACATTTTTGACTTTTTGATATCATCGATAATTAAATTGGTGTTCTGAAACTCATTCAAACTGAACAAAATGCGTCTTGAGCATTTCTTTATGTCTCAAATTCTTGCTTTTATCGTAATGTAAGGGCTGGTTTTTAGAAATTAGCAGGTATGGGAGAGAGAGCAAATAGGAGAGCTCTTATGAAACATGTTAGAACAAACCGGCCAAATTCTGGACTGGATGTGCAGTGGCGTTCGTCAAGTATAATAAAATGAGAGTAAAGCAATAACCAAAATATTAATAACATACTGTCATGTATTCAGAGTTCTAAGTTTCCTACAGAGAAAGTTGAATTGTATGGTAACTTCAAATAAGAACTGACCACTGTATATAATACAGATATTAATCGTTAAAATAAAATTTGATGTTTTTTTCCTTCCCAATTTAATAGTTTATATCTAAGATTAAATCATCTTAATAATATAGATCACTCACGTAAAGAGCTTGAAAAATACTTTGCTTATCGAATTCAAATGGTTTGATAGAATACCGCAACAGGCTGTTATAAGAAGATGAGACAATTATACCCACATTATACCTTTATTTGACTGGCTAGAAGCCTTTATTTTTGAGGAAAGGGTGTGTATTAGATTTAATATTTCATGGATTTGCTGCCTCAGTTAATCCTTCCATAAAGTCCACTTTTATCAATGTTTGGTTATTTTTAGATTGACATCACATAATTATACCAATGTAATCTTAACTAATTTATAAACCAGACTTCCATGTCTGTTTTGGGCGAAATTACTTTAAAGCCATGAATTCAGCTAGGCGTACACAATTCTTTTCATTTAATCATACTACAAAAATGTGATCGATATATATTCAATAATTACTCTTTTTTAGCAGGTTGACAGTTTCATGCAATCTCGTGATTTAGTTTTGTTAATTGGTTACAGATAGTTTTAATCGCTTTGAAATTGGTTGAACATTAACAATGTAGAGGTGTCGCAGTCGAGTGGTTACAGCAAAAACCTGGAAATGCGAAGGTCGTGTATAGATTCGGTGCCAGACACGGCATTAATTTCCCTTGGCAAAACATTAATCTACATTTACCACTCCATACCCAGGAGAGAAATGGGGACCTGGTAGGATGACGAAAGCCTTTTTGATAGTGATTACCATATGCCAACATGGTGACCATGGGGTAGGAATACTCGACAAGGAGTGAAGATGGTGCACATTGTTTACGTGAATGAAGCTGTGAAGGTAAACGTGTGTGCAGAGCGTTTACTGTGCGTGGTCAAACGTGATTCTAATTGATGTGATTAATAAGCACCGTAGTATATTATCATACACGTGATACATGTCATTCATTGAAGTATACGTATGTCAAAAATTATAATTCAGTTCAGTTTCGGTTCAGGTTTATTTTTAATTTCCAACAGAACAGTAATTTTGACAAGAAATCAGATATAAAATTCCGCATTCAATAATATAATACATTTTACATGGTTTAAAGTTATGAAATAGAAAGTATACATAAAAGTATAATGTTTTTTTTTTTTAAAGTTTATAAGATAAACCTGTGGAAATGGAGGGATCCACTGAAAAGCAGAGCTTGTAAAATGAAGATCCCTCAAAATTATGACAAACATTATGTGTGTATAATGTGAATATATTGACTTGAAGAAAAAAAAAAATATATACATAGATTACCAAAGAGTTATAATGACATAGATTATCAAATTGAATTATCAGCCATATACTCTTTAAGCTATGGTAGATAGGGTCACGCTGCTTTCACGATTCACAGTCTTGTGCTCGAAGATAGGGCCTCTGTTTTTCATGGCTTTAGAACCGTTAAAAAGCTCCTTCACTGCCACACGAAAGTGAGGGTGCCTTGCGATGTAAATGATGGGATTCAGACAAGAATTACATAGCGTTAACACTTTGCAGATACGTTGCGTTGGAGTGTAGAGGTACTCGAAGGAGATGAACCCAATATTGATACCGAAGAAGAAAATCTGACTGGGTGACCAGCATATGATGAAAGCGATGCTGACGATGAGCATGAGTTTAATGACGTGATCACGAGCTTCTAGGTGTACAGAGCGTTGGGAATGCATAGCTCCATTGACATCTTTCCGAAAGGCCTTGGACTCCCGGTGGAGGACGATCGCAATCGCGGATTGGGTGACTACGAGGATCATGGTCGGGATGATGAGACGAAGCAGGAAAATGAACCATCCATACACTGCCTTGGCGGTGCTGCTTTCGAACAGGAATCCACATGTCCTCTTGTCGCTGTCCACCCCGTAGCTGATGCAAATGGGGAGTCCAACAAGAATGAATACAGCCGCCCATATCAACAACACGCTCACACGAACCCGGCCTTTGGTGACGTACCGCATGAACTGCAACGGGTGCACAATGGCAAAGTAGCGATCACAGGAGATGGCTACGAGGTTGAACGTGGATGCTGTCAAACAGATCCACATTATCGTGCTGTTACCTACAAACCAACAGTAGACGTTACCTATCCTTGAGACAGGAACCGTCTGATGGGGTGGAATCGGAATCATGAGAAAGGATGCTAGGAAGTCAGCAGTAGCAAGGCTTCCGACAAGTATGTCGGTAGAGCGACTTGCTGCACGACACTGGTACAACACAAGAATGACCAAGAGGTTTCCGGCCATACCTAGCACTGCGGACATCAGTTGCAGAATCACCCACCAATTCCATACGAGCGGGAGCCAGGACCATCCACTAGCTGTATCGTTACCATCACCCGTTTCGAAAATCCCAGACGAGGGATCAATTGAAGAATTCCAAAGCGGTGAAGCTCCGGTGGCCATGTTCATGTCTCGATTCCGAAATCGGCACAGAACAAGAAGAAGAAGAAATTATCTTGATCGACGAATGTCGGATTTTGCTTCAATCGCAACCAGCAGAACTAACGGTGTTTGATGCAGGTGCGATGTAAACACAATCTAGGTATATGGGGAACCTGTTGAGAGGAATAAACGACGAGACACGAAGAAAAGGTAAGTGTGGGTTGATACTCCTCTAAAATGGAAACGTAATAACGCCATCTATCCTTTAAGCATATTCAGTGGAGGGTTTAATTGGTCCTGAAGCTAGCGTGTAAATATCAGACAAAGCTATGCGAGGATCGAGATAAAGTAAACTTACTTCTAAGTATTGCATTGGAATCATTGATACTCATAAATCGAGTTGAACAAATTGAAGTTTCTGGTAATAATTTGATCTAAAATTGAGTGACAAATATTCTTTTTGTAACAATCGTTAAAAAAAAGTTTCTCAGTTAGTGTCATGTGTTTAAGTACGGCTAAATTACATTTCCCGACGAAATGAAATACCAAGCTCTTATCAATAGTAACGTAAAGTTATAGGCACTTGTCAACGAAACATATCTTTTAACATCTGGACAAAATCTACCCAATTGTAAAATGGATGCAGGATCACCTGTTTTAAATCTATTTTGTCTTTGTAAGTCGATTGTAATACTAGAATAACTACTTTCATATTGCAAACACTTCGTATCTGCACTAAAAACAGTGTCAATATTTGTTGGAAAGTTAATCTAAAACTGAAGAAAAAATCTCACCGTATACAATTCCAACGTCTGCGTTTCCGTAAAGTCAGCTGAAAGATCTACTGAATATTTTTGAAAGTCGATCAAGCTTGTGAGAGGTTGCATGGCATTGCCGTAACTTAAAGCCTGCATTAGTTCGTACGCCCTTATATACCCTGTCATGCCATCTATCAAAAACCAGTATCTCGCTTTTTCTTAACACGAAACCACTTAGATTTTGGTCATAGCTATTGTAACTTTTACCCTTTTCAGATGTTTAATGGTGACTCTCTAGTGCATAAAGGTCTTCTGATTTCCGGGGAAACTTCCTTGGAAACTTGAGCACTAGCAGTGACCAAGTTTTCCTCTTTTAATGAAATTAGACGGAATACGAGATGCGCAAAAAAAACACAGAACGTGACAGTTATGGTATATAATATTGACAATTGTACAATAACGTGAATCCGCATAAAAACTCGTTTTATGATGATCAATACTTTTCATGATACAAAACATCTTCAATTGAGATCACATCAATGGTAGCTTCTACCTTTTATTCAGAAGAGACAAAATACGAGATGCGCAAAACACACAGAACGTGACTGTTATGGTATAAAATAATGACAATCTCACGATAACGTGTAACCGCATAAAAACTCGTTTTATGATGATCAATACTTTTCATGATACAAAACATCTTCAATTGAGATCACATCAATGGTAGCTTCTACCTTTTATTCAGAAGAGACAAAATACGAGATGCGCAAAACACACAGAACGTGACTATTATGGTATAAAATAATGACAATTTCACAATAACGTGTATCCGCATAAAAACTCGTTTTATGACGATCAATACTTTTCGTGATACAAAACATCTTCAATTGAGATCACACCAATGGTAGCTTCTACCTTTTATTCAGAAGAGACAAAATACGAGATGCGCAAAACACACAGAACGTGACAGTTATGGTATAAAATAATGACAAAACGAAATACGAGATGCGCTAAAAACACAGAGCGGGAAAGTAATGGTATAAAATAATGACGATTTCACAATAAAGTGTAGCCGCATACAAACTCGTTTTATGACGATCAATACTTTTCGTGATACAAAACATCTTCAATTGAGATCACATCAATGGTAGCTACTACCTTTATTCAGATGAGACGAAATACGAGATGCGCAAAAAACACAGAACGGGAAAGTTATGGTATAAAATAATGATGATTTCACAATAAAGGGTAGCCGCATACAAACTCTTTTAATGATGATCAATACTTTGCGGGATACAAAACATCTTCAATTGAGATAACATCAATGGTAGCTTCTACATGTTTTCAGATGAGACGAAATACGAGATGCACTAAAAACACAGAGCGGGAAAGTAATGGTATAAAATAATGACGATTTCACAATAAAGTGTAGCCGCATACAAACTCGTTTTATGACGATCAATACTTTTCGTGATACAAAACATCTTCAATTGAGATAACATCAATGGTAGCTTCTACCTTTTATTCAGATGTTTGAATAGGACCTTTTCATTCAATATCAGGCCTTTTAAATTCAAGTAAAAGTTCCCTGCAACCAAGTTCTTTAGATGAAATGAAACGAAATTTGAGATGCGTAAACTACACATAACGTGAAATTTATTGTATATAAATTATGACAATTGCACAATAAAATGAGCCCGTTTACAAACCCGTCTAATGAGATACCTTGTGTGAAAGTCAGTATCCAATAAAGCCTACATAAATGGTTTCCTTCACCCGTATGAGATACGTTAAAACTTTCTTTCTAAAGGGTGATCAGGCGCGCCGGAAGCAGTTTGGGATTGGGGGGGGGGGAGGGGCAAACATTCCAGGGGGCTCACCTTTCAGAGGCAGTGACGTAATGAGAAAAAATGTTCGGGAGGGGTGGGGTCTTACACGTTACATGCAGGTCCCGCGGTACGTTTTTCAAAGTAGAGTATTAACGATCAGGTAGAGCGTAAATTGGCGTGGGGTCTAGGGCATGAGCCTCGGCAGGGGTCAAGGGGCTGAGCCCCTAGAAGCTCAGGGGTTTTAGGTATTTAATTACAGTTAGATGAGCATCCAGGGACCCCTCTTTAGGCCATTGACGTGTTCCAGGGAGGGGGGAGCCCCCAGAAGATCAGAGGTTTTAATATTTAACTATGGTCAGATGAGCATCCAGGGGCCGCCTTAAGGCCCTCGGTTGGCTTTCAGGGGGCAGAGCCCCCGAAAGCTTAGGGGTTTTAGGTATTTGATTATGGTCAGATGAGCATCCAGGGGCTAACCTTGTAGGGCCCTTGGTGGGGTCCAGGGGGCAGAGCCCCCGGAAGCTCAGGGGTTTTAGGTATTTAATTACGGTCATAATTATGAGCATCCAGGGGCCCGCCTTAGAGCCCTTGGTGGGGTCCAGGGGGCAGAGCGCCCGGAAGCTCAGGGGTTTTAGGTATTTAATAACGGTCAGATGAGCATCCAGGGGACCACCTTAGGGCCCTTGGTGGGGTCCGGGGTGGAGCACCCGTAAGCTCTGGGGTTTTAAGCATTTAATTACGGTCAGTTAGCATTTTTTACACCTTATTTGTGACATTGGCAGGTCACTTATTTTTCTCTCCGTCTTTCTTTCTTTTACTCTTTAACATAATTTTTCAAAAAGTGAGGGAAGGGGGGGGGGGGGGCTCGAGCCCAGCCACTTTGCTGACCATGACATAAAGGCTTCTAAATAAGCGTATTTTTCGCCTGACTGTAATTTGGGAATTTCTCATTTTCCAACAAACGTATAAAAAGGTATGACTTACCCCAAAATGGAGAAATAATACCGGAAAATCATGTCATAACAGCAACATTTGTAAATCACTGGTATCGAATACAAAATACCCCCCCCCCCCATCAGTACGCCAGCGTTCAGGGGCTCATGTCTTCTCACCCCTATAACAACAAAAAAAAGACACGCTTTCCCATTCTCGCACAATATGTCCACAATATGCGCGTAAAGACCTCCATTGATAAATACCGTATAGGTGGCATGCGCAATATTTATGAAATTTAATTCCTGTGAACTTTCCTTTTCAGGTTTTTATTATTGTTATGTTCTTTTGGGTTAAAAATACAAACCATGTTTATTCCTTTACTGCTTTTTTTTCCTTTGGAGAGGGGGGGGGGCATTTAGGGGGCAAAAATGCGTTTCCCCCCCCCCCACTTTTTTGACTGGGGGGGGGGGGGGCAACTCTTTCGGCGCCAACTCTTTCGGCGCCTATGAGGGTGATCCACTTAATTTTCAAGATATAAAATACAAAAATAAAACCAAACTCACTATAGCCACAACTTCATAAAATGACATCTTTAATCGTATGAGATAAGTTCAAACTTCATTTCTAGGGGAGATTCATTGATTTTTCAAGATATAACACATAAAATTAAATAACAGAAGATCTGAAATAACCTCTTTTATGATAAAGCAGGGCATAAATTAAAGGTGATGTGTTATGTAGGTAAAAGTCTAAGGAGTTGGGAATAGATTTCATGATATCCATTTATTTGTGTGCATCCAAAGTTAAGAGAAAATAACTCATTCCTTAAAGTTGGCCCTACAACGTCTGCATTTTAGAGAAATAATGGATACCTGGTTTATTAGAAATAATCTTCAGTTTCTATGAAATATATAAATGCCGATCAACTACATTATGACAATTTCATGGATGGAAATGTTTCTGATCTAACACTAACACTTCTGAATCAACTTTGTTCTAACATTATAATTTTAAACGTTAATAAAAAATAGGGGAAATCCGCAGGAGAACACCATTTTTTTCAAGGGTAAAACATACTAGAGTTGCTTAAATATATTGTAATGTACACAAATAAGCCTATATTTCACTAGATCCTGACAGGTGTCCGACTCATATATACATTTGATACATTACACCTCAAATCACAAAAGATATAGATTCTGTCCCCTGAGCAGCAATTCACGAAACGGCCATAATTACGAGTTTGCCGATAACCCGTTAAAACACGTTTGTTTAATTTAACACTCGTTTCAAATGGATGTCGGTGAACTTTTATTCTGACGGTTTCGTGAAACGGTGCCCAGAATTCGAGCTGATTGTCTTCGCGTGTGAATCTATGCCTGTTTACGTTTTTTGTGGCACTTATCCGCTAAGCATAACTTCCTAATTACCCTTGTTGTATAAAGGGTAAGGACGTTCTAACGATCAACTTAAAATGATAATCGTACTATGCTGCTGTATGAGGCGAGAATGATGGCTTAGTGGTAGAGCAATGGTTTCGTAACTAGGAGGAGCCGGGTTCAAAACCAAGAGAATTCGCTAGTATCAATTGGTACTGCATTAATCCTCATTACCAACTCTTTTGGAGAGGACTTAAAGCCATCGGTCCCCTGGTTGCTTACTTTCAGACCGTATATTAGTAGACAGATAAAATAACATATTAAACTATTATTTACCGTTATTTTTATCAAAATTCAAATTCTAGAGTCCGATATTTGATTTCTTGACAATCCATAATAGATCAGACATAAAATTATTTGTCATTCTTATTTTGATAGTTCAAATGTAGGGTCTCTGTCTATGCTGTACCAAGATTTAATGAGGTATTGTTTGTGGACTGGATTAATAGTGCCCACAACAGTTCAAATCAATCTAATTTTGTTAGTTATATCAGCTCGCGTTCTGTTAATCTTCTAATGACCGGTAATACAAATACGACAACAGCTACAAGTGGCCAACGTATTTGTCGTATGATATCGAATACGATTGCTAAATTAGATAACAAAATCAGCGATAACATACTACTAAAGTACCAATGCAATATGGTAAGGTTTAAAGTGTACAAAAGTCACACCTAAATGTTATTTCACTCATATTCCGGCAGCTAAGTCATAGGTTATCAAAAAAGAGGGAAAATATGGCGAGGATAGTGACCACTTTCGCTGCTATTTTGACAGCCTTGGCGCATCTTCAACTCAGCAATTTCAATGTGTACGCAGGTGAGACGTTCGAACTTAAGTATTTACGATTTTTATTAAATGTGGGCCTGTTCGCACTTTGAAAAGAATTTCATAAGCAACCTTTCAAATGTCAGTGAGAGGCTAATGGGACATAATTAGTTTTTCAATAATGGCTATAAATTGGTTTGATAGAGAATTTACGTATGTTTGATAGTTATTTATTTGTACAACCTGACTCTGTTTTGGATCTTTTTATATTGCTTTCTTTTCGGGGTATTAATAGTTACAAGAATCTACACAATACGTGACCTAAATTATTGTTAGTGATACGATGTAAATGTAAGCAAAGTATATGTACGACTCGTTTTGCATTTAATCAATGATTTTTTTTCTTCACACAAATCTTGATTTATTTTAATATACTTGTCATGTACGTCATTGTCCAAAACTTGAAACAATTCTGGTGTTTGGGTTGATATTTTGATAAACCATCTCTTTGCTTGGGATTACAACATATTTAAGCTTATACATGTATGAAGGTGGAAGTGTTATGGTCTAGTGGATAAATCACAAGACTGTAGATCACATGGTAAGGGGTTTAATTCCCTACCATGGCACCAACGTCCTTTCGCAGTACATTAATATAATAATAATAATAATAGTGGGTTCTTGTATAGCGCTCACATACATCAGTTCTGCCACTCTCAATCCAGGTGTAGCAAGTGGTAACCCGATAGGATTTTAATATTTGAATACAACGAGCGCTAGTATTGCCCGTGTAATTATGTATCTAAAGTCCTTTGGAAGCTCTTAGTCCATTTTTCGTCACGCACTCTTGATCAATTTTCAAGTCTCCCAGGAACCTATTCTTTACAAGCGCTACTTTTCTATATAGGTTCCTGCACATTTCACAGTTTGTACTCTTGTCTGGGTTTCCTTTAAATGATAGTAGTTGTCAACAAAATGTGATTATTACCTTGTCAATTAATATATATATATATATTTTTTAAATGATGAAACAATATGTCTTTTATGTATATTTTGTTATCTGTATTATTTTTGCATGTGAAATGTGAAATCAATGAACTCAAACTCAAACTCAAACTCAATCATCCTTTCCATCTATCAGATAATAAATTCATGCAGGCATATTCCAAACTCGTCTCTGATTTGGAGATCATGGTCGATTGGAATGAGACTCTAGAACTGCTTCCTGGCTTCGAATGCTACGAGGAACGTCCACTAGATCTCCCGGTATGTTTGTTGTTTATTGTTCCTAGTTTCTGTTCTTTTTTCTTTTTTTCTTCTTGACACGATCGCAACTACTTTTTGACTCCTTACGTAATCCCAAAATGATTTATAAAGGATATACAACAAGGTATTGAACCTCAATGGGTTAATTTTGCAAAAGTAGTTGTGATTATGTTCTTTTAAATTTTTGCAATTGTTTAAAATTTCTCTACATTCTTAAATGATTTTTTTTTGATAAAAAAATAAACTAAATTAAACCATATAACAAGGAATTTTTTTTGGTTATATCTTGCACATATATTGATAGTAAAGGCCTATACATGGCTCTTTAGATAGCATTTTTGTAACTGACGATGCTTTCCTTTATATAAATGGAATTACAAATAAATACACATACAGGTAAACAAATGAACATATAAGTAAATATGTAAATGAAATCAATTATAATGATAAAACCTATGTCCAATTTTCATAAAAGCATACTATCTTGAATCCAGGTTCAAGAGGTTGGAATCAGTCACTTATTTATGAAATGCTAAGTGTCAACCCCACAGGGGCGGACTAGTATCTAGGATCGGCGCCACCCCTATCCAGGATGCCAGTGCACCCATATACGTGGACCCAATAATAACACTGTTTATAGCTCACCACATACTACATAGTCTTGATGCGGTCTGATTTTGGTACAAATTGAATTTTCATGACATATATGAAAATTTGAACATAATTAGAAATAAATCTTCCTGATTGTGAGGTATTGCAGTCCTTCAAATCAACTTTCAGTACGAGAAATAAACCATTGAACCATTTTCCGATATGAGACAACAAATCGTCGAACCATCTTTCAGTACGAGAGAGGCCAAATCGGCTTTAGATCGGGGAGTGTCTTGCGAGTGGTCTGACCTCAATGCGATCGGAAGGTCAACAAATTCTCTACAAAAAAACGATTTCAATATTCAAATGACTGTCAATTAAGCCAGGTAACCTCAATCAGGGAACTTTAAATTAAATGTCATAACCTGTGATTATGCACGTTGGATTATGATGCATACAAAGTTTGTTGATCGTTGCTCGGCGCCGTGTCATCCAGTTCTACGAGGGACACAAAGTTCTCACTTCAAGTATAGCTCCTTGAGATACGTGTATTTGGTCAAGAGGCGTCTATGTTTGATAATACTTCAAAGGGAAAAATCTTTAATTAGATAACCCTTCGACCAAGGTTCAAGCTGTCATTAAGAGATAAGATAATACTGATCAACTATTACAAAAAAAACAAATCTATCTCGTAGCTAAAATATGCCTTACCTAATATAGGTTTGGACTTGGTCATTACAGTTCAACAATAAACTGCTGTTTATCTACTTTTAAAATTATATTCAATGTTGTACATTGTTGTAAATTTATACGTTTTGGGGGATAAGCTTTTATCAATGAACTAGGTTTATAGGCATCAATATAAACAAACGTCTTTATCAAAAGCAAGATGAACTCGGTAGAGACACTATTTCACATAGCTATGTATGACTCCATTATTATTCCTCACCTGCAAAGATTTCTCGATCTTTAAAAAAATAATCTTCATTTGTTGTCTTGACATTCATTCCATTCTATTTCTTATCCAATATACCTCTCTCACCCTCTCCTTCTCACTATCTCTAAACCTTTCTACCCTTTCCGATCACTTGATTGTTATCTCTATATGAGTTTAGCCTCTTGGAAAAGAACTCACATTTCCTTGCGAGGACCTCCCTCCTTCTGATGAGATACCAACATCAGGTAATAAGAATTCTCGCTCTCATTCTGTTGGCCCTATGTAAGATGATATGTGTTAATGCCCTTCACTCTTTTAAAATATTGGTTAAAATTGTCCAGCATTAGGTGAATTGTGTACCATAAAGGGCATTCAAGGGCATTTAAGGGCATTTGTTTTATCAAAATTTAGTAATACGTTGTCCAAAATATAGAATAATTACTTAATCAAAGAATGCAAAATATTAACCAAGTTGGGTTTTAAAAAAATGCTCAAAGTTGGGTAGTTACAAAATTACCCTCATGGTAAATATTGTTTTTTTGCTCTCAGCAATTCTATCAAAAACTCCCCTTCGAAATCAGTATCAATTATTTTCAGAGATTGTGAATGTATATTATTACAGTTTATTTTTGTACGTCTTATTGAGATTATGATGTCACTTTGATTAATTTGATGCCGGTTGTATATGGAAGCCGCATTTTGATGAGTGTTTCAATGCGCAAATTTTCAAGGAACGTTTATACATTGAGCCAAGGATAACATCGGGGTTAGGTTTTTTCGTTAGGGTTAGGTTTTAGCGTTAGGGTTAAGTTATCGTAAAGATTTATCGATATAAATAAAAACAAATGTATCATGTATTTACTTCAATCATATGTTCTTTTTCTAAAGGTTTGTTTAGAAATGACGCGGCAAAACCGGGTTTTTTTAAATATTTTAATGATGTGAAATGTAATACGATTCACATTTCTGCATCAGTATAATGCAGAGCTACGTGAAGGCGCGTAGGACCTTTGTTGCGCGCAGTTGCTATTCAACATATACAAAATCGCTGCGGTTTACCGCGTCGTATCTGGACGAGCCTTTGGAGTTCCCTCTGAATTTGCTTTTTCGATTTTTATTTTCTAGCTCATAGACTTCGTCCAGGAGACATCAAAGCCATTGGTGCCATGGGCGACTCATTAACGGTAAGTAGAAGCACATTTGTCCAAAGTGTTATTACTTTGAAATTAGGTGGTTTTAAATAAAAATTCATAACGTTATTTACGTACATTGTCAAATAATATTTCTTACACGAACGGACAGAATAGGCATCGGACTGACCAATAGCCTAACCCTTGTCTTCACAACGTTATTTACGTACATTGACAAATCATATCTCTTACACGAACGGACAGAATAGGCATCGGACTGACCAATAGCCTAACCCTTGTCTTAATGAAGGCACCAACGTAAAGCGACTCTACTTTCCGCTTATAACGAAAGTGTCTTTATAAGATATTGTGTTCATAACATAAAGAGGTATATAGGTGTCGTCGGTGTGTCATAGTCGGGTGGTTTTGGGGCAAGGCTTTTATCTACATTTGCCACTCTCCATCCAAGTGTTACATGGCTACCCGTTAGAATGCAGATGAATTTGCATGCGTGCACATGTATGGCTCCTGGTCAAAATACTCCTCAGGGAGCGAAGTGTGTGCACTAACATGTGCGGATTTAGCAATACTGAATCAAATGACCGTGATAATGATACATGACTTTTGTGGCTATACAGGCTTAACACTTTAAAATTTGCTAATCACTTACACAATTGTAAATGTACATCGTAATTATTTCCTATCAAGTGCTGAACATAATACAGCACGCGCATGGCTAAAATGCAGGGTGGACATGAAAAAAAAAAAGCAGGATATACTTCATCGTAAGATTTTCATATGATTTTCTTTACCCGTTTGACCTAACGATGTAGAGGCTGCAACATAAGAAAGCGGCAGTGATTGAATAGCATGTTAAGAAATCTTTGTGGGCAGTTTTTATAAGATATACAAAATTGAAGAACAAAAAGGAAATCGAATGCCAAAAAATGGGTTTATGGAACACACTTGACAGATAACTATTAACATACATTAGTCAAAAATGGACTTTAAAAGACCTGTAGAAATTATGTGCATCAAATGTCATCATAAAATCTCCAACAAAGAACGACTTTAGAAATATCAAAGCAAATCATATGGTGACCGACATTCTAAACACTCACCGTCAACCACCCACTTACTACATTTTTTTCTTCTCGTAATGTTGTAATAGGCAGCAAACGGAGCTGGAGCATGCTTTCTCCCAGAACTTCTCTATATGTATAGAGGCCTAACATTCAGGTACTTGTAATTTTATCTTTTGAAGACAAGATAAAAAAACATTTGTTTGCATGCTTTGTTCCTTAGTTAGCGCTCATATTGTGAGATGTCGTATTTTTGTTCAGAATGGCCATTTACTCTAAAGACTTCAAGACGAAAAGCTTTAGTATGTTTTTATTCGTGGCTATCCTTAGAAATAAAATAGGGCGTTGATAATACTTTGATGGTGGAATTTAATGGTAGATGTCTTTTCCGTCAGGGTGAAAATCGATTAAGTGGAAAAATGTGTAAATATTCTGTATTCGTGTATAGTTTCAGAAAATAGTTTAGAGTGCTCCTTTTTGTATTCATTTGAAAATTCAAAAGAGCGGCATTTCTTCACATGTATTCATTTCACATATAATCATCTAGTATTGAAAGTTGGGCAGAAACTCTTTTTTTAGTTCAGTTCTTTTTCTATTGTTATTTATGTAAAATCTGAAGTTCTTCTTTTCCTCGAAATCCAACGAGCTCCTTATCATATTCAGTATAGTCACTGTCAAATATTTGTATTGGTGCATTAACGACCACGTATTGCTCTTGTAATAATTGCGAAATAGAACCTCGCCGGACAAAAATCAATTCCTGTGATTCTTCCCCAAACTTCATACTACGTGAAGTACAATGTTTTAATTTGTTTCATAATTTCAGCCATGGAGGAGATGAAAGTTTTGAAACGAACCCAACTCTTGCCAGTAAGTATAGTCCACTTTGTTTTGACAGACGATTTGTTTTTGTGTAAAATTGGTCAGATGATGGAGATGACAATCTATTCGTTAATCAAAATATTTTGATTTGTGGATGGAATACATTTTGATCGTCAGGGTCATCAAGAAATAGAATTAAATGAAAACGCCAATCATTTAAAATCAATTCATATACTAAAATGTTTTTACAAAAGTTTGAATAATAACTACACAAAAACAAAACATTATATTCTAGAAACATTTCTCAGCAATCACATTTCCCTTAGGGTGGACATCTTGTATGAATGACAGATGCAGGTGTTTACTTTCTTTGTTTTCATTTAGTTGTTTTTAAATTGCTCCATATTCAATTGAGATTGGTGGAGTTTACCTATACGTCTCCAGATTATAAAACACTCTAAAGAATCGTTTTATTACCTCGATGTTCATGATCATGCATGTAAATGAATGTAAATATTATTTCAAAACTGTTATCATTTATTTGACTGTTATTAATAAATTTTACCATAATATCTATTTACGATAATACTCATTTCATATGGCTTTTATATCCGTATATAATCCTAGATATTTTGCGGAAGTACAATCCTGACCTCAAAGGTTATGGCGTGAATACAGGAATGTGGGACACTAAGGATGCGAGCTTGAATGTTGGTCACCCCGGAGATATAGCTGCGTAAGTTATACATCTGGGCCCCATTTCACAAAACCTTTTTTCAATGACAAATGACAAAAATCAGTGACAAATCTGCTGATGACCGATCGTAAGCAAGGATTTCAGTAGCTTATAACCCAAAATTATAATTTGTCACTGATGACAAGTTTGGTGAAATGGGACCCTGGACATCATATCTGTACATCCAATCTCACATTTTCTCAAGGTCCTGTAATCATTAAATAAATATAGTTCTTACACTGCTGGTATCGCTTGCATTTTGACACAGAATACACACAATATCTCATTAAGCTTCTGAAAGAAAGAGATTTCGTCAAAGGTCTTGAATTAAAAAAAAAAAAATCATTTAATATTTCCTAATTTTTTGTAATTCTTGCGAGCAAAAACTCATTGCAAGGAGCAATACATAACATCTTTATAATTCCGTTTCCTAAAGCAGTAGAAAATCAATTTATCAATTTTTGGTTATTACTACCAGTATGACTCAACACTGGCTATATCAAAATATTGGAATATAACACTCGACTTTTACATGTAGAAGTATAGAAAAATAGGTCAATTCATTAACATCCAAGCGCAACCATATCTTGAAGAAGAAAAAACATGTCCTACTTGAATAATTGTTTTGGAACGATTCTTGCGATTGGCTAATATATGTTTTCATATTTAGAGCACATCGACTCGCATGGGGGCAATTTGATTAGTCTTGACGAAAAAAACCACCAGGTTATTGACCAAATAAAAATTCTTCAAGGCTGTATTACTTACATAGAATACTTCAAGAAATCCGAATAGTTACTTTTCTTTTCTCACTTTTCTAACGCAGCGACATGTTTCACCAAGCCTGGTGATTCGTGAAGAAGATAAAAGCCGATCCGGAGATCGACTCAAAATGCTTAATGCTTTAATATGTAAAAATCCGATAATTTTTTTATCAAAAAGACTCATTTTTAATTCTTTCACACCTTTCAAACACAGTGACATAGATAAATAGATTGTTTATTGGTTTCCACAATATCTCATTTTACAAAGAGTGTAATAACATATTGAAAATGATTATAATATATAATGTACATACAATACCGGTACACACTATTCATAAAATTGTCCATTGAGTTGAACTTAAGAAATATAGTGGCGGGCCTATGGAAAAGCAGAGCTTGTTGTAGATAGGCTCCTTAAACTACAAATGACATAATTAACTAAAGTATAGTTTATAAAATACAAATACACGCTAAAACAGGGAAAGGGAGAATACAGGGATACATGAACCGATACTCACTGTCAACTAACTACAAAAGACAAGGGAAAGGGAAGGGAATATTATATCTGCAGCTTTTGAAACAATATTAAAAAATATAGTTTGTTCTCGATATGAGCGTATTATAAACGTAGTTGGCATGGTCATAACGTTATTTACTCATTGTAATCAACAAAAGTATACAGCTTGGAGACAAGAATAGTCAGGAATCAGGAATGACAATATTGTATTCAAATAATAACATTTCAATTCTGTTCTGAATACATGAACGCTTACATGTCACACCAAGCCCAGTGGTTAGTGTTGTAGAATCCGATCCGGAGACCGACTCAAAATAATTTAATAAGCAAAATAATGATTATTTTGTTATCCATCCAATCCAATCCAAAAGATATTTGATATAGCGCCTTTTCATTGCAGTTACAAAGCGCTGCACATGCGCTGCACAATGTTTGGGCCACTTAAAAACAAAAGTTAGACACTTCTCAGCTAGAGATCAGAAAAGTATATGTAGACTGGTGATAAAGTAATTACTAGCAGAATAGATGTGACTTGAGTAGTTTCTTGAACTGGTCAACAGATGAGGCCGTCTGCACAGCAGTAGGTAGTTGGTTCCACAGTTTTGCAGCAACCGATGGAAAAGACAATTCACCAGCACGTTTCTTAGAGAGACACCGAGTGAGCCAGATGGATGATGATGAGCGGGTATTTCGGACCCGAGAATAAATGTTATTGTTTTTTCATCTACTCAACACACACAGCGACATGCCTCATCAGGCGGACTGGTTGGTGGCAAAGATGAAGGCTGATCCGGAGATCGACTACGAGAATGACTGGAAGATCGTTACCCTCTTCATAGGAGGCAACGATCTCTGTGACTGGTGCAAGAACAACGAATACTACTCCCCAGAAAACTACGTCAAGCATATCCATGAAGCCCTCATGATTCTTCATGATCAGGTGCGGACATCAATTTTTGACATTTGTTTTCATTCGTTGATGTAGAAAAATAATCTAAATGTTACCGTTATTAATGAACAAAGTGATATTTTTTTTAATTTACAAAATGTATAGTGCTTGTTAAAGCGTTTTTCACAAATCCTGGACATAAATATGGTCAAGGAATATGATACTTTTGTATAAAACGCTGTAAAAACGCGTGTTTATTATTCCATTAAACTTTGCTGCTTTGTGACTTATTTGAAACATGATGACTATCTCAAAAAACAACCTGGATCTGACTTCACTTGATATTAATCTTGATTCTCTCTCTCTCTCTCTCTCTCTCTTTTGGGCTTGTTTCCAAATTGCATGACTCCTGTTATCATTGTATGATTTCGTGAAACTTCCAAACATCTGTTCCTCAAATTTATTTGCTATTATAGCTCAGGTAAATTTTCTATGGAAGGTTGCTTCCCTTTTCGAGAATTGGTTTCGACTTGTAATATTAATGATAATGATAATAACAAAAGTAAAACTTGATATGGGGTTTGCTACCTTTTTCGTAAACTGAGTCCCTATTTATTAATAAAAACATTCTTTTGACAGATTACGTTAAATTTATTTTGACTTGTAATAATACAAATGATGATGATGATATCGATGATCAAGGGGCGCTAAAACCAAAAATTACAATAATGTACTAGATTATTTACGTTGCTTAATTTCGTCGATCAAAATTGTTCTTGTCATTACAGATGCCCCGCACAATAGTCAATGTCATAGGTACGATTCGAGTTTCTGAAGTTGAGAAATTGAGGGGCCCAATATGTGATATATTCCAATGGTAAGTTCATATTACTAAATTGATATCATAAAAAGGGGCGTCTCTAATCAACTTTGTACGGGGTGGTAATCAGAAAAAAAATGCCCACGATATTGCCAAAATTTTTCCCGAATGCAGTAAACAAAGATGTCCTCAAATGAATATACTTACAGGGGTTCTGAAGAAAAAAGATCAACCAAAAATCATGATTTATTTAGCGACAATACGAGAATCGATCGACGACGGAAATTTTGAATTGGATGGGGTTCAGATTGTTCAGATATGGCATATCTAAACTTTCATTGTCTACCTTAAATACTCAGTGTTTTTAATGAATAATTTCTTGATATTGAATCAAAGGAGTACAAGGGGCACTCGAAAATTTACCATGAAAGGATGCAAATACAGGTTTAATCAGCCTGTTATCAAGGTACAAAATAAAAAAAAGTCGCGTTTTGTTAGCATCCTTTCGAACAAACTCTTGGTAGAAATAGGATTATATCTCTAAAACGTGATAACTTCACCCATTTCCTCTGTTTGCTGTAGGGCGTTCTGTTCATGTGCATTGTTTTTAACCCCCGATGAGCGAGCCAACTTTGATAATCTCACCAAAGTGTATCAAGTGAGTAAAATATTAAAACCAATTTAGTCATCATTTTTAAACTTTAATTAGAGAATTCATTTTGTTTTATATTCTACGTCTCCAGTATTCAGTGATATTGTTTCTTAGTTATTTTGATAATCTAATAATCAGTATTGTTATTTCTTAATTGAACATTTTCATTTACCTGTATGATTTTAATTTTATATATATATATGTATATATATATATATAATAATAAAAAATAATAATAATTGCCCAATAGTCCACTCCAAATTTTATTAAACCGAAACGGAAATTCTTTTTGCCCAATTGATCGTGAGCCCGGCAGCCACTGAGCAATAAGGGTAAATATAAACGAATAAATAAACGCATGTATGAATAAACATTTACTACATTAATTTGTTTACGGCATGTTAAAAGTAGACTACTCTAACAAAATTTGTATAAGGTTCAATCTTATAACAAAGGTGCTAATCTTCGACAGTTTCGAGAAGTTTTCGACAGTTTCGAGAAGTTTTTTAAGATCGGGCCGGGCTAAGCAGTATACGAGCAAAAGACGAAGCCACAAATACAAGGATTTGATACATGCCCGTGGGAAATAATAGCATTAAGCATATCATTTGTGACATAATGTAAAAGCAAATGTTCTCATTCTCGTAAATTATTGCACACCAATTATTGTTCTCCTTGTACGTATCCTAGACTCGGAACTACTGTACTGTTTCGTAATTTTACTGAGTAATGATCAGACTTTGTGATAAAACTCTTCACAGGAGGCTGATATTGTACACACTTTGCCTATTATTTAGGCTCCTCACATTTAACAGTATTCGTATACTGAATGTTGCATCTACACTTCGTTAGAAACACTTTGCTATTTACCGTCAATTACCCTTCATTTCAGTTAAGTACCCGTTTTATTTTGTTACTCTACAATTTGTATCAATCTGATTTCTGTTAAATATAAGCGTGGAACAAATAAATTTCAAACTTCAAAGGGCAATTTTAGGCGCCATAATGACAAATTGATTTTCTCTCTCATTTGCCTCTTTAGGTCATGCTAGAAGAGTCAATAACGAACGGGCAATATGACGATAAGGAAGATTTTACAGTTGTGTTACAGCCTTTCTTACATGACACAGTCGTCCCCCTCACAGAGGTAAGATCACGGGTGTAGCTATAAGGGGCTATGGGGAGGGGTGTAAACGCCCCTCCCTATCATTAAATGGGAGAAAATATGTGGGAGGGGAGAAAAGAATAAGTGAAATAGATGGAAAAGTGTGTGATTGTCGGATAATGTAAAATACCCCCCCCCCAACCCCTTCATTTTATGTGCTCGTGTTGGTTTTGTCCACTTGGTAACTCCAACATGGGCATGGTATACCGGTACCATTATAAGTATTGTATCCAAGCTTTCCACTGGCCAAATAAATCGAATTTCTATTTTCTTTAATTTTTACTTATACTGACTAATAGTCAGTATAAGTAAAAATTAAAGAAAATTAGATTTTAGGGCTACATAGTATGTAGCCCTAAAATCTAATTTTGAATAAATATACAATTCAATTCGAATAGAAATGATAACTTATCTCCGATTCGTAATTACATGGAAACATGATATTAAAGCCTGTCTGCACGAGTTTGGCCAGGAGAGATTAGACCTCCCAGCTTGGTCACTAACAGGTGGTTATCTCACCAAATCAGCTCTCAATAAACATAAGAAAAAGGGGATCATGCGGGACCAACAGGTACCGCTTAGGCATTGTTTGCTATATAGAGGACGCCAATACTTACAAGTAGTGCAGTCCCGCTTTAATACAGAAAAGATGGCGACAGAATTATATTGTCTTTCTAAAATGATGTTGTTCATAATGGATGTTCATTAATTATGTTCACTTCACCTTTTCAATACGTCATTTACAGTTTGCTTCATGTTTTATTGCAATATCGTAATTAAGGAAATGTGATTAATATCTAGGTTTCTATGGGCATACGAAGCTTCCATAACCAAATTGTTTTCGTTTTGTTTCCCCACCACTTCCTATTAGAGCGGTGATCCTGATTTCTCCTACTTTGCGCCAGACTGCTTCCATCTCAGCGCCAAGGGCCACGCCCAAGGTGGTCTTGAACTTTGGAAAAACATGGTAAGTCGGAAAACTAATATCGAATCGCTCAATATCTCTGTAAGCGCGTTCCAAATATTATAACCATAAACAAAATCACAACATATGACACAATCATATCAGGTCAACATTAACAGTTGGCATTGTATAGTGGGAAAAGTAAAATTGATGTTTTGTTTCTTAACACAATGCGTCTATATCACGGCCAGGTTCGAATTAAACCCGATGGATATCGCAGGATTCCAGTAGAATTCGTGGTATAGCTTACAATGGCGTCAGGAGAAACATTACAATATTGCAAACTTATGTTACATTCATAATAGAAGTGGTATTGCCCCTTAAACTGATGAGTTTTCTATTCAACTCTGAGCATTGATAGAAGACATTTCCATACCCATACATTTAATGACTTAGAACCAACAAGGCCAGTCACACTAATGATCGTAAAGGCGCCACTAAATATAATCTATGGTACGAATATGATAGACACAGTCTAATGGACCTCTATGAAAAACAGCACTCGTGCTGATGAGGACTTTCCATTCCCCAAGTGGTAAATAGATACAATTAAATAAATACAAAATGAAAACACTTTATGCTTATCTTGACAAATGTAAAGTAAATACTTTATGTTTTTGACATTATACTTTGTAGGGGTTTCGGACATCCCCTGGGATAGATTATGTGCGCAGTATAAATCTAGCTATTACAGACAGCTTGGTTCACTTATTTTGATAATCAATATTGTCAAAGTTGCTAAACGTATGTGTTGGTGATAATTAGCTTTTGGTTATCGTATTGTGCTATGTATTTTATATAATTGATTTAATTTGTTTTTTAATTATATCCAAACACAGATGGAACCTGTCGGTGCAAAGGCTACCTCTTGGTCTCCAGATAAAATCGACCTCACTTGTCCATCTCAGGTATGTGAAACTATTAAGAACTACGTATTACATCTTCAGAATCCCAAATCTCTAAATAAACCTACAGCCCTCTTGATCTATAAAATGATTCCCTTTCAAAACAAAAAAAATCCATTCTCCTCTGTGCATGTTTACGACGGACAGTGTGAATACACAGGTCCACAGAAATACATAGACATACAAAGAGATAAATCTCTCTTAGTTTCACTTAACAATTCACACGATTGCTTCGCAAGTTGTTTGAGGTAGATTCTTTTTAAATGCAGTATTTAACATCTTCCTCTATCTTACCAAACGAACATAAAATAAGTATTTTCTTTTTAAATCAGACAAAAATAAAAATAAGAGTGCCTTTGAACTCTCGTATGTGGTAATTGTGTTGGGAAAATTATTTGCCCTTGCGTTGATACCAACCCCAGTCTTGGAGGCCTACATTTTGTCTTAGAACACATTGAACTTTTCAAAAGGAAATAATACAATAAAGCTTCTGAAAAAGGTACAGACCTGCAGAGTAGTGACGTTCACCTTTTTTAAATGTAAACTAAGACAAATTTTGCCTCTAAACCCGATTCTTTTTTCTTCCTATATGAAATTTATTTTACCAGGAATTCCAGTATATCTACACCAATGTGAATAGCAGACCTGAGTTTTGGGAACCAACACAACCTGCAACGACAAGTGCATCAACCCGTACGATGGATGCTGGAGTGGTATCCATGATAACGGTTGCCTTAGCAACCCTAATTTTAGCTGCTCGTCACTGATATCAATAATTGCACGACTGTTATAAACCATGTTTCACAAACATTGTATAAATAACAACTTACAGTAGCTGATGTGAGCTACTTAAATAATCACATTTGATTTGACATTGAGCATATCTGACATAGGAAAAATGTTGATGTTATTCAATTACTAGACTTGGATAAGGTTAGAACAACTATATTCATTTTGACTAGAGGATTATCTAAGTTTTATGGAAATTGAACGGTGTCAGAATACTACACTTTCCGCATTACTAATTTGTTCATAAACCAGATAACTTCTGGACTGAGTTAAATATAGAACGCATAATAGTTGGTTATTGAGTAAGCACGAAAGGCAAAATCATCTGAATGCATCCATCATTCTGGGTAATGAGATAGAATTCAATTCTACAAAACATTCTTAGAAGCTACAGTTAACACGTTTAAAGTTGTGAAAGGAGTCCTAGTTTTTAGGAATATGGACTTTTCCGTTAAAGAGTTAAAAAGAAAACAAAGAAACACCATGGTTTGGTAATATTATTATTGATAATGCGTTGCATAATAACATCCTAGAATGGTGGCAAAACTCTTCACTTAACAAGCCAAACGTAGCCTGATACTTCTTGCGATATTGAATGATTGTTATTTTCATCACTGGAAATTGAGGCATTACGTTTAATATGAAGCATCCGGAATACACTGAAAAAAAGTATACGGATAATATACAATAATGATTGAATAACTAGCTACGCTTATCAGTCTAATTCATAAACTGATCGTGATGCTACTGTCTTGATAGCAACAGTATTAGGATGAAGAGTATGCTTAATCACAAAATCTTACATAAAAATGTACATAAATATAAATGTTTATATTTGAGTGTTTTCTATTCATGCAGAATTAAACTGAAGAAGAAAAAATGTTCATTTTATATGTTCCTTTATTTGCAATACTAGTACTCTGTGGACTATGTACCAGTGACGTGGAGCCTCAAGTGTTAGACGTCCGCTAGTAGGGGGTGGGGGTCGCCACGTTCCTGTCCCTTCACGAATTAAAGTCAAGAGACATTGGCGAGATTAGACATAACGATAATGTAAGCTATATCCATATACGATACCACTTGAACGTTGTAACATAATATAATAAAAACTATCGCAATAGATTTTCTTTTCGCTCGGGAAATCGCCAAATTTTTCGATGTAAGCACTTATTACAATAGATAAAGATATAGGAGATCAGACCATGGAACATAATGGATAATATTCCTGAGCCACGTTACAATCATCCATCCCAACATACCCATCGCGTCCCACAATGATCCTCATTGAGGTCAGTGATTCTTTGTTTCCCCCCTTTTTTTTTGTTTACCAATGTAGACAAAAAAAAAAAGAAAAGAAAGACCGGACACGTTATAGAAAGGAAAAACCATGAACGAGACACAGAAAGAAGTACTGTTAGAAATCAGGGAAGAGATAAAAGAAAGAGAGACAGACAGAGAGACAGACAGAGAAAGAGAGACAGAGGGAGGGACCCATGAACAAGTAAACGAAAACAAGAGACAGACAGACAGAACAGGGAGAGAGAGAGAGAGAGAGAGAGGGATAGAGGGATATAGATAGGATTTTTTTTTTTTTTTTTTTTTTGGGGGGGGGGGGGAATGGAGCATTAATATGTTACGATCCAATTTTACTTACTATTACATTAACATTTTAAACATGTACTTTGTAACTGCACATAATTTATATTATCTTTTCAAATTGTAAATTGCAGTTGTGCGTCGGTCAATGGAGGTGCGCACCATATTTGTCTTTATTTAGTTGATTGCCACTGTTTTTCTTACCTTATCTATGTTACTTTTGTATTTTTGCTTTTTCTTCTAATTTAATTTTACGGGTTATAGTCTTCTCTTAATCAGAACACTGTGCGCTTAGAAACATCAGTATTAAGCGCCTAATAAATGTTATGTATTATTATTATTATTATTATATTTTGTTTTCTACGCTACCGAAATATGCAGGTCTTATCTTGAAAACATAGCTTGCGTTTTGCGCTCATAGTTTGGTAATTAGTACGCTGAATTAGGCTAAGTCCAAAACAAACATCAATTTTGCCCTTCATATAAAATAAACGAGTGTTCTAGCCTACTCAGTTATATTTAGGCCCTGTCTAACGTATAGTGAAACATGAAAGAATGATTAATCATGTCATATAGTTTTTAATTTTGGCCGCGCGTCTAGTTAAAGAGAAGGTTGAGTTCTTGGAAAAGTGAAAATAATCTGGGAGCTTTTTCATTCCCCTATAGAGAAGTTTTATACTCAATCGTCGCCAGAAAAGGATGGTTATTCAAATACCCTCAAGTTCGACATATTATAGCGATACTAGTATAGTTGAAATATTTGGACCAAACTTTTATGCCACATGCTTGAGTAGTCCCATTTACATATTTCAGTGTACAGAGTCAATTTCTTATCTTTACGATGAGGCACCAATCGTATGCGCTGCAAAATTGACCTTTCCAATCGTTTACAGACAGATTCTTTCATAATAGTTAATACAGTTGCATGGCCAGAAATTTATCTTTAAAATGCATGTTTGATTTGAAAAAAAGGCATTCTGGGGGGCAGGGTGATTGACCTAGATTGACAGACTGTCATTACAAAGAAAATTGTGCATGTTATGTAGATTGTGATGAAGACGTCACTAACCCAGGTCACGTTATAATTTATGTACCAATTAAATCGATCGGTAAAGGTAGCGCGTATCTCTTAATGGCCATTAAGATATCAAGTGCCGTTTATGATATTTGCATAGTTAGTGAGACTCATTTAAGGATTCTTTTGAGGCGTTTAAAGAAGCCCGGAGAAACAAAAACAATACGAATATTTAGTTGCTTGTGTCATTTACAGATTAAAGCTTTGACAGCGAAGGACTTATCTGCTGCGTGACATAAATTTTGTTTAGATATTACAAACACATTTTTGAGAATGGCGAGAGCGTTGACGAGTTCGATTTTCTTGTTGGCTTTACTTTTCCATCTCAGCTACTGGCAAGCACTCGGAGGTAATGGTCATTTCTTTTTGCAATTTTTGTATCTATGTTTGCACTACATAATGATTTTGAAATAGTGTTTATCTTTTTAGGAACAGCTGAAAGAAATATATCTCATATCATTCTGTCGAGTCAACGGAGTTAGTTTGTATGGTCAAGACGGTAATGGCTTTCGCCTATAGAATGGAGCAGGACTTGAATCGAGAACGCTTTTGTTCAATGAAATAGCCTTCAATATTTGACCAACTTGATGATTCTTTTATTAACAAATTTTAGGGAAAAGAAAAAGATATTTCTTTTCCAAATAACCCTTTTAAATTTCGTTCCTATTAATTTCTTTATTTCTAAGTCCTCTCACTCTTTTGCTTTGATGTCCGATTGATCTTTTTCTGTTCTCTCAGTTTCTCTAACTTTCTATAATTCTTTTTTTCCTTCCACGTATCTATCTATCGTTGATATATTTTGTTTAATGTATACTCAATTGACTTATTTTAGAGTTTATTCTGTAAAAAAAAGGTCACGCAAAAAACAACCCACAAATGAATGTTAGTTTATCCATTCCTTTCTCCCTTTTAATTTTTTTCTCCATTTATTTTGTTTTTGTACTAGATGAGCGATTTGAAGAAGCATACTCCAATCTGGTCGAGGGCTTGAAAGAGATCATGGTAGACTGGAACGAGACGCTCCCGAAGCTTCCCGGCTTTGAATGTTACGCGAACAGGCCGATTGGTGCACCTGTAAGTAGTCTGTTTATAGAGCCAGAAGGGTGTTAACTCGTATTCTTCAACATAGAGTTAACGCCCTTCTGGCCCTTCTGAATGTGTGTGGGAATATGTGAGAGTGTGTGCGCGTGAATGTGTGTGTGCGCGCGCCTAATTGAGTTTTACAGACTTTCATCGATCAAAGCATTTATGTAGGGGAAGGTACGACATCAAATAGAGCTCTTGGTCTCCAAAAGTAGAACAGAGAGCCGAACACTCTGTAAGACCTACTGCTTTTTTATTTTGTTAATAAATAATTTAAATTTGCCCACAACAACAACAGCAACAACAACAACAACATCGAGGTTAATAGCGCAAACAAGTCTGCTCACTCACTTTCAAACTCATTGCTTACCTTAATTTGAAGGTGGTACTCCTCATCATATCAGAAAGTGTACAAGCACTTTCTTTGGTTCATTATTCAATCTGGGTTTTCTGAATAGAATGATACAAATAAAATTCAGTCATTATAGCTTGTTGCGGTATGGGCAAATATTGTTCAAATCATCTATGTTTGTTGATTTTAAGGGGCTATACAAGGGATAAGCGTTTGCTTGAGAAAATCTATCGCAAAAACAGAGAAAATAATTTTAAAAATCGGGCTAAAAAAGCAATCCTCCTTTTCGGGTCTTGGGAGGGTCTGCCGGATTTCCCCGAGAAACTGATTTACGGGGGGAAATATCGGGGAAAATAAATTGTTTTTTTTTTAAAACCGCATTTGAAGCAGAAATACAGCTAATCATACAATATATAATTATATAGGTTAAGCGGCGCCACGATATTCTAATTGAGATAACAAAGATAACATCATTTAATTGATGTCATAATTTTAATTGTGCAGCGATAAAAATCTCGAGCGAAGTCCAAACTGCTGCTAAAGCCTAATGACACTAATGGATTGATACACGACCCTTTTGGCATGATTATTGCAAAGTGTTAAAAATAAAAACATCTTTGTATTTTTCCTCTATCACGTTATATTTTTGCTCTAAATATTGCATATTCCCCCACTTATTTTTAAAATAATGATTTACACTTATGCCATCTGAATTATTATTTGCTTTTCCCTTGATTTTAATTGTATTTTCTTAATTTTCTACTTCAACAATATTTTTAATTAAATATCGGCTCCTATCTTTCTGTCTTACTGATATTAAATTTTAACTTTAATATGGTACCGAAACATTCAACGGAAATGTAATAGGATTAAAGGTATTTGAGCAACGTATATTTATAATATAAGAGTCAATTCAAGTCAAGTTAATCTATGGAGAGAAATTGATTGCTATCAATACTTTATTTCTGCATCTCTCGTCAACAACTTTTCTTGCAACAGAGTTGCTTTTGTATGAGGAAATATATTTTGCACACATATATACGTAAGTAACATTTCTTATATGTATCTATATGAGAAATATTGTGTTGTTTTCATTCTCTTTGAAGGCGTTAGGTAAAAATCTTGAATTCCCGTGCACAGTCACCATGCCTTCAGATGAGATTCCTACATCTGGTGAGCATTAATACTTTTTTAACCACGTTTCCATGTGGAAATTTAAGTGATTGAAATGTGAATAGGCCTAGACGTTAAAATGCTTGCAAACACATACTGGAAATTTTCAAGTAAAATGTTCGTTAAGAGTGCTATAACGCATCAACATGATGTCCTTTTCCACGTCCGTTAGTATAAAAAAAACATGTGGACATTAAATTACCATTATCTCTTTCTAAATAGATTTTTAAACATTTGTCTTACTGTTTACTGTCCTTTGCAATTTAGCTCGATGTTGCGTCATGCAAAAAAAGATAGATAAAAAGAAGGGGAAAAAAAATTACGAGGAAAAAAAAAAAGGAAAAAATAGAGGGAAAAAATACATAGAACTCATCTGATTTCTTGAGGAGTTGAAAATAGTTAAAAGGTTTTAAATCGCTTAATATCAATAAACCTAGGCCTGTAATAAACTATTGCGTCTAGTTGTAAATGCATATAAGTCGATTTGGTTGGAAACGTTTTTAATTTCAATGAGCAAAGAAAACAGCTTATACTTGTCATGGTAGAATTAAAAAAGCAGTCCAATAATTGAATATATTACAATATTATCTGCAATTTTTGG